CGGTGTTACCTTCAGGGATTTTAATCTGTTGCACCGGTCCTTTCTGAAGCGGTTCCCTTTGTTTATTTGGCTTCTGTTTGCCGCCTCTTCGGTGTCTAATTTCCGCCCTGACACAGGCGGGCGGAGGTGATCTCTTATTTAGGTTCTCTAGTTCAGTTCAGTCCTGCTACGGGGAGGGCGGGGCGCTGCAGACAGATACCGCTCTGTGTGGATAGCACTCACCGTGTTCCGGCCACACTGGGTTTGCCCCGCTCACGGGTGTCAGTGCTTTTGCCGTCTACACTGCTCAGGCTCCCGGCTGCTCTATGTGGAGCGGGCCCTGCGTTGAGTGCGGTTCCAGTTTTCGGGTACTCCACAAAAGCGCGGATTCGGTTGCGCCTGCATTTTGTGCCTTCCCCGGCCTGAGCGGTTCAGGCAGCCAGAGGCTTGGGCGTACTCTCCCTGGGTATGGCGCGCCTTTTCCCTCCGCGTCGAGCGGCCCAGGCAGCCAGAGGCTTGGGCGTACTCTCCCTGGGTATGGCGCGCCTTTTCCCTCCGCGTCGAGCGGCCCAGGCAGCCAGAGGCTTGGGCGCACTCTCCCCGGGTGCGGCGCGCCTTTTCCCTCCGCGGCCCCAGCGCGCGCCGCCAGTCGGGTCTCAGAAGTCTTTAGATAGGAACCGGGGGCCTGTTTGCAGTGTGGGAGGGGGTGGCTTCTCAGGGGCTGAGTTTGCCCTTTTCCCCTACCCCCTGCCTCCTACCTCCAGCGGGGATGGGCCTGCTCTTCTCTGGAGTTTGTCAGTCCCTTTGTTTTGCGAACCGCCGGCAGTGTGTTCGGCCGGTTAATTTTGACCCTTGCTATCCCACAGTTTAAAAAAGCTCCCTCCGATTGCTCTCAGGGTCTTCGGGCCGGTCCTTACCCTAAGCAATGCTGCCCGCTCCTCTCCGTCCCGCCCCCGCTTGTTGCTGGCGGGTACGGGCGTCTGGGGTACTTTTCTGCTGGGAGTTGCTTTCAGACACGTAATCTGTGGGCCTTGTTTAATTTTTCCTCCCAGTTAGATTGCTGAAAACTTCCCCCAGTCCCGCCAGTGCGAGGGTTTCCTGGTGATTGGAAACTTCCTCTATTAAGACTCCCTTCCCGGGACGGGTCTCCATCCGTAGCTCTTTTGACTCCCTTTTTATCTTTTATATTTTGTCCTACCTCCCTTCGAAGACAATGGGCTGCTTTTCTGGGCGCCTGATGTCCTCTGCTAGCGATCAGAAGTTGTTTTGTGCAATTTGCTCAGCATTCAAATGTTCTTTCGATGAATTTGTAGGAGAGAAAGTGGTCTCCCCGTCCTATTCCTCCGCCATCTTGGCTCCTTCCCCTAGTATGACTCTTTTCCTGGCTCCCTGGCCTGAAATTCACCCAAGAGGACCTCCCTTCTCACTCTCTCTGCTACCATCCTCCTCCCTCACGTTTAGGCCTTTTCAGGGTCCTTTCTGCTCCCGCACTGACCTCTGTGCTCCCGGCTGCTCACGGCTCAATCTGTGACCTTTCCTCGACGTTCTCTCCTCATCCCCACTAGCTTCCTTATTCGGCCTTCTTGTCCCCGCCACTTCCCTGTTCTGTGATGAGCTTCTGGCTCCAGGCCATGTCCTGGACATCCTGCTACAGATCAGTCTTTGTTCTCAGAGAGTCTGAGACATGCAGGGGTTTGGGGGGCTTCCCAGGTGGTACTAGTGATAAAGAATCCACCTGCCAATGCAGGAGGCATAAGAGGCTCGGGTTTGATCCCTGGGTCAGGAAGATCCCCTGGAGGAGGGCATGGCAACCCACTCCAGCATTCTTGCCTGGAGAATCTCATGGACAGAGAAGCCTGGCAGGCTACAGCCTAGAGGGTCGCAAAAAGTCAGACATGACCAAAGTGACTTGCGTGCGCACATGCGCGCGCATGCACACACACATGCGCGCGTGCGCGTGTGCACAGAGGCCTCCAGGGAGTCCAGCACCTCCCAGCGGGAGCAGGGAGTCACCTGAGTCACAGGGAAGTGGAGGTTCAGGGCTGGAACCCAGCTGTCTGGTCTCCTGGCCTGTCCCCTTCTCCTTCACCTGTGGCCACTATTTCGGCACTGGCCCTTGGCTGTGACCAACCACTCCCCACTGCCCTCTCCCCTCACCAAGCTCGTGGCTGCCCTCTGAGCCCAGTTTGTCTCCTCAGTTCTGACCCAGCACCTGGGCACAGAGATCCTACAGGCACCACAGATCCATCGGGCGACCAGGAGAGCATCTTCACCCCAAAGGGAAGGAGGACCCGTAGGGCAAATTATAACTTTTTTTTTTAAGTTTTTAAAATTTCAGTATTTAAAATTCGAAAAGTACAGAAGGAGACACAGTCTCCCTCTCGTCCCTTCCCAGGGACAGCATCTGCTTCTGTTAAATAACATACTTCCAGGGATTGCCTGCGTATACGCTGCTATACAGAATGGATGTATATGTGTGTTTTTTCTAATTTTAAACTCAAATGATAATGTGATAAAATCTGAATCAAAAATAATCTCACACCATGCTGTGTGTTCCAAAGGAGTTAACATTAACTACTAAAATCAACTTTAGGAGTAAATTTAGCAGCATAGAAGGACACCCAGGCTATATTGTTAAGTGGAAAAAAAAAATCAGGTTCCAAAATAGAATGTATGTAGGGTTCTATTTTTGTTAAAGGAAAGTTATGTTCTCTGTTTTTAAAAACGTACGAAACTGTCACAGCCGAAGAGGATCCTGAGGAGACATGATAGCTAAGTGGAACGTGGTGTCCTGGATGGGATCCTGGAATAGAAAAAGGACACTGGGTAAAAACTAAGGAAATCTGAGTAATATTCCATTGTACGTGTGTATGTACCAGCATTGTTCAGTCTTTAAAAGCAAAGAAATCTTCTAAGATGTGATGACTCGGACAAACCTCGAGGACGTTACAATAAGTGAAATAAGCCAATCACAGAAGGGCAAAGGTTGCACAATTCCACTTATATGAAGTATCTAAAATTGTCTGCTCAGGATGGTGGCTGCCAAGGGCTGGGAGGTGGGGAACTATAGAATTACTAGTTACCGGGTGTAAAGTTTCAGTTATCCAAGACGAGTAAGTTCTAAGGATGTAGAAGGAAATGGCAACCCATGGACAGAGGAACCTGGCGGGCTACAGTCCCTGGGGTCTCAAAAGAGTTGGACACAGCTCAGTGACTGGACACACACACACAAGTTCTCAGGATCGACTGAATGACCTATAAGGATCCACTGAATTGTACTGTACACTGCACAACACACTTAAAACTTTGTGGGAAAAAAAGGCAAAAAAAAAACTTTGTGAAGACAATAGGTCTCATGTCAACTGTTCTTACTACCATAACATTTAAGAACTTAAAACTTTTTTTTTAAACTAAGGAAATCTGAATACATAAAGTATGAACTTTTAGTTGTTAATGTATCAGTGCTGGTTCATGCATTATAATAAATGTGCATCCTAACACGAGATGTTAATAGTGGAGGAGACTAAGTATGGGTATATGGGAACTTCCAGTACTAGCTCCACTATTTTTCTGCACTTTTAAAATTGTCCCCAAATAAAAAAATTATTTTAAAAAGTTGGACGGGTAACACAATGCTCTCTTCAGATCATGAGATTACATGTGATTCCCCCCCCCACTTTGATTTATCTTTCGTTTTCTGTTTTCTACAGAAAGCACGTATTATTTGTATAGTGAATAAACCACAAACCTTGCTGTCAATGCCAGCCCTCATGGTGGAGGTGTGACAGCCTCCCTGGCCGTGTTTGCTCTGAACGCCTACTTGCTTGGGAAGACAGACTGTTCTCAAAGGGACTCTGGGGGGGCCTGGAATCCATTCACCCTTCCTTGGCCAGGGTGCTGTTTCAATGCCCAGCACTCTACCTTAAAAAAATTTTCTCCACTTTAAAAAATAGTTATGCATGTGTCCATCATAGTAAAATTTTAGTTCATACAACCACAAAAAAGACAATAATTTGCTTGAAATTCTATTGCTCAGAAAGGACTACATTTCACATTTTTGTAGTTTATCTTTTCATCCAAGTACTAACCAGGCCCGACCCTGCTTATCTTCTGAGATCAGACGAGATCGGGCGCATTCAGGGTGGTATGGCCATAGACGTAGTTTATCCTTTCAGACTTTAAAATTCCTATACACACCGTATAAATATATGCCTATGTGTAACTATTTACAGAAATTGGGTCATACAATGGATCTGACCTCACAGTTTGCTTTTACCACTTAGCAACATATACAGGACTGATTTCCATATTCAATGCACATGGACACTGTCATTTTAGATGACTCTATTGTATTACAGTGTCTCTACTGTATGACAGTGTACTGTGTGATCATAGCTCAGTCATGTCTGGCTCTCTGCAACCCCGTGGACTGTGGCCCACAGGCTCCTCTGTCCATGGGATTTTTCCAGGCAAGAATACTGGAGTAGGGTGCCATTTTCTCCTCCAGGGGATCTTCCTGACCCATGTCTCTTGCATCTCCTGCGTTGGCAGGTAGATTCTTTACCACTAGCGTCACCTGGGAAGTCCCTTACAGTTAAACCATAATTTGTTTCATTCTCTACTGCTGGAGAGTTTGTAAATTATTAAACAATGAATATGTTGAGTGTTGCCATGAGCCAGGACCAGTTCTGGGCTCTGGGAATACAGCAGTTTGAGAGCAGCCTGGCCCGGCCTCACAGATGGCTCACGTTCTCACCTGAATTCAGGGGCACAACAGTCCATTGCTTGCAGGTGGCTGTGAAGGCAGCATAAGCCCCCGGCGTGGTCTGGAGCTCAGTGTAAGCGCTCAGCCAGCGCTGCTGGTGGTGACTGTGGTCAGTACCATGGGGCACCCGGGGTGGCAGCACCATGGTCCATTCAGGTGGGTGCAAAGCCTGACTGGCTACCCCAAGAGCTGTGACTGCAGCCTCTCCCACCACAGGGCCCTCTCCGCCAGCCCTGACTGTGTTCTGTCCCCCCAGGGCTGGACATCCACTTCATCCACGTGAAGCCCACCAACCTCCCCTCCGGCCAAACCCCAAAGCCCTTGCTGATGGTGCACGGCTGGCCTGGCTCCTTCTACGAGTTTTATAAGATCATCCCGCTCCTGACTGACCCCAAGAACCACGGCCTGAGTGATGAGCATGTTTTTGAAGTCATCTGTCCATCCATTCCTGGCTACGGCTTCTCTGAGGCATCCTCCAAGAAGGGTACGGGGCTGCTGTGGGCCGGGCACCTGCCCCAGGGTGGGGAGCCGGCTTCCTTCAGAGCCTGAGGGAGCTAGGGGGAGGGGAGGGTCTGAGACCTGAAGAAAGAGAAGCAATGGGGACGATTTGATTGTCAAAGGGCCAATGTGTCTTCTCAGGATTTGAGGGGCGTGGTGGGCCGAGGACCGAGCAGAGTCACGACTGTCCAGAGTGGGCTCAGGGCCTGGATTCTCGTGTCCTTGGGAGCTGCCCACTCGGGGCGGGTCCACGTCTGGACTCTGTTATTCTGGGCCAGCAAGGCTGACTAAGCGCTGCGCACAGTGTGGACCCACGGACCCTCAGCAGGGCTGGCCTCACTGTCTCCTGCACCAGCTGCACTGCCTCTGGGCACTGGGAACCCCACCCTCGGGCCCCAGGATTCCTTCTCACCCACTCCAAGCTGGTCTGCCCTCAGCCTAGGGCGAGGCAGGGGCTGGGTGAGAAATCGCAAAGGCCGCTGGCAGGACCAAAGGTGTGACCTCCTGTGATTCTTCTCTCCCCTTAACCACCAGGCTTCAACTCAGTGGCCACTGCCAGGATCTTTTATAAGCTGATGCTGCGGTTGGGCTTCCAGAAATTCTATATTCAAGGCGGGGACTGGGGGGCCCTGATCTGCACCAACATGGCCCAGCTGGTGCCCAGGTGAGGGCGGCTGTCAGGCGCTGTGTGTATGTGTGCGGGTGTGTGTGCACAGCCCGTGTGAGGTGAATGTCTGCGTAGGGAGGAAGGTTGGGTATAGTGTCTGAGGCTTGGCACAGGGGCCACGCGGGCAGGATGTTTGTGGGCCCAGGGGAGATAAGGGAGGGTCCCTATCACTCAGCTCTGCCTGGGGCAGTTTGACATGGATTCTTCCCCCCTTTTGGTGTCACACAGGACTGGTGACTCTGGGTCAATTGCCCAGGCAGGGAGGGCCAGCTAGAGGAGGGGGAAGGTCAGGGAGTAGACCTTTCTGATAGACCAAGTCCTGGGAGAGAGCTGACCAGAATTTGTAGAACCTGTATTTTCTCCCCAGCCTCCCCTCTCCTTCACCTCATGTGGTCACCCAAGGGGGCAGATGCTGATGGGGGCTGGCCCTGTGCTCCCCAGCTCTGGGGTCTCTTCCTCCTCCATCTCCCTGCCCCCCCGACTTCCCCACCCTTGATGGCACCCAGGCTCACCTGGCCCTTCTCTGCCCCCAGCCACATCAAGGGCCTGCACTTGAACATGGCTTTGATTTTAAGAAATTTCTACACCATGACCCTTCCTCTGGGACGGCGTTTCGGGGGGCTTTTCGGTTATACCGAGAGAGACATGGAGCTGATATACCCCTTTAAGAAGGTCTTCTTCAGCTTACTGAGGGAGAGCGGCTACATGCACATCCAGAGCACCAAGCCGGACACCGTGGGTGAGTGCGCAGGTGGAAGGCACCTGGCTCAGCGGTGGGGGGTGAGGTTACATCCAGTCCATTCAGCAAGGCTCCCAACCAGCAGGGGAAGCCTCACCTACCCTGCGAACACTGCTTATGGGGTGAAAACCTCTTGTGAGGGACTCAGAGCTCTTTCCACCCTTACGCTGCCTGGCCATCAAATAACTGAACAGCTCCACTGAGCAGAGTCAGTGTTCCTAGTGACTTTGACCCCTGGTCCCTCCACCCATGAATCCTACAGGGAGAAGCATAGAGATGGACAGAGGAGGGGGTAAGACAAAGCCTAGTGTTTATCAGTTCTGGGACTGTAGGAAGACAGGGGTGCCCAGGGCCTGGGGGAGCTCCCCAATTCAGTGAGGGAAGACAACACGGATGGAGCTTCTGCCATCAGGGCCCTGTTAAGGGTAATATTTTTTTTAAGGCATCAATCATATAGCTATACTTTTTTGGAGGGGCATACTATGCATCTTTGTCAATAAAGTAATTTCCAAATTCTTAAAAAAAACATTTTTAAAGATAAAATCATAAAAATAAAAAATGAACACATGTCAAAATTTTATTTAACTCATTAACTAAAGCAGCTAGTAAAATGTAAAATAGAACAGTTCAAAGGCATTTAAGAACACTAAAATAAATTTGCTAATAGATACAAAACTTATCAAAATCTACAGGGTAATAAGTAAATCTCCACTGGACCCAGATTTATTGAGATATAATTGACATATTTAAGGTTTACGGCATAATGATTTGACTTACATCTGCTGTAAAATGATTGCCACAATAATTTAACATCCAAAATCTCATATAGATTAAAAAACTTTAAAAATGTTTTAACCTTGGGAAGAGCATCTGTAGGATCTACCCTCTGGACAAAATTCACTTGCTTCTCTATGAACCAGAATCACTTGCATTGCTATTGGTTTTCAACAATTTGTAGACCTGTAAAATATCTGTAAGACAAGGGAAGAAAGGCCCCCTTTACAATCATATGACATCAGAAGGGTCCACTAGAAACTCCTTGAGCCCCACTCAGAGGACACCCAGGAATTGTTTTGCCTGTGGTCTTTTAGAGTTTCCATGGCAGTCCATATTCAGACACCTTGGACAGCTCACGATAATAAGAACAGTGTTTTATAGAACCAGTTTTCTCCCTCTGATTATAAAAGTAACCCATGTTCATTGTCAAAAAATGGAAAATGCAAAAAAGCACAAAGCAGAAAAGACAATTGCCTATAACCTCTCGCTCCCTACCTCTACTCTCCCAGGCCTTCAGAAGAACTGGCTGACATTGTGACTGATTAATTTTCACAAATGGAATCTGTCCATACAACCAGCATTCACTTAAGAAACAGAGCGTGACCCACCAGCCCAGAAGCCCCCTGCACCCTCTTCTGGGTACTGCCCCACACGCCCAGGGCAGCCACCCTCCTGACCTGACAGATAGATTGCTTTTGCTGGTTTTTATACTTAATATGCATTGGAATCCTCCAATAGGTGCTCTTTTGAGTCTGGCTTCTTTAGCTGAGTATTTTGCTTGTGAGATCCATCCATGCCATTTTTAAAAAGGATTTCTTTTTTAAAAACAGTTCTATTTATTTTTGGCTGTTCTGGGTCCTCATTGCTGTGAGGGCTTTTCTCTAGCTGCGGCAAGCGGGGGCTCCTCTCTAGTTGCGGTGTGCAGGCTTGTTCTGGTGGCTTCTCTTATTACGGAGCACAGGCTCTAGGACATGTGGGCTTCCGTAGCTGTGGCTCATGGGCTCAGTAGTTACAGCCTCCAGGCTCTAGAGCACAGGCTCAGTAGTTGTGGCGCACAGGCTTAGCTGCTCCTTGGCATGTGGGATCTTCCTGGACCAAGGATGGAACCCATGTCTCCCGCATTGACAAGCGGATTCTTCACCATTCAGGGAAGCCCCCATCCATCCCAAGCTTAATGCTTGCTTTATCGTTGGGCCTATGAGTGGGTCAATATTTATTTATAACTGATTCCCTATTTTGGACTTTTAGGTTGTTTCTAATTTTTCACTAATCACAGAATAGAAATGAAAAAAAAAAACCACTTTTTGAAAACAGCATTCATATATATTTCTCATTTGGATCCTACAAAACCTAAAGTCATAGCCTCTTTAGTTTGAAGGAAGCTGCCCATATAGCATATGGATGTCAATGAAGTAGTGGGCGAGGTGTTATCCCTTTTTGTCAGGTAAGGATTCCAAGACCCAGGGTCAAGGAAGTGAGGTGCAGGAGCACCCCAAGAGTCAGGGCAGAGCTGTGCTCTGACACGGGCTTCCTGTCCACACTGCTGTTCTGTGGGGCCAGCTCTTAAATGCCTTGGGGCCACGCCTCTTGCTGGCCAGCTCCCTGGTCCCAGGCCCGAGTCGCACCCTTGCTTCTTCCCACACCAGGCTGTGCTCTGAATGACTCTCCCGTGGGACTGGCCGCCTATATTCTAGAGAAGTTTTCTACCTGGACCAATTCGGAATTCCGAGACTTGGAGGATGGAGGCCTAGAGAGGTAAGACCCCATCCTCCCCTGCCTGCTGTCGCCTCACCTTCCTCACCCACCTCCCTCCTCGCCGTCTTCATCTCTGGTTGCTCTGAGTGCGATGGTCGGCAAGTTCCATCTCTTACAGGATGTCCCACAGATCCTTAGCCTGTGACCAAGCCAGCCCCAATTTTTGGATGAGGAAGCTGAAGCCCAGAGAGGTCTAGCCACGCAGTGGAGATATAAAAAATAGGATGCAGGGCTCAAGACGTTGCTGTTTGCTAAACAGCCTCCTTCTGGGATCAAGGAGCCCAGAGGGTGGCAAGAGCCTCTTTGTCACTAAGACATGAGAGCAGCCTACGGACCCTCCCTCCCGACTCCCGGAAGAGCCTGACACCATGGCCGTATGACTGCATCGTTTTTGGAAGCTGGCCCTACAGGCTGGCTACAGAAAGTGTGGGGAGGCCGTCCTGTCTCTGAACATTAATGTCTGCAGCCTCTACAGCGCATGATTCCCAGGTCCCTGGCCTGATTTGAGCTTCATCAAGGTTGGCCCTGACCCACCTGCTCCAGGGCCCAGCCCTTTCTTTATTCCTTCAGAGATACTCAGAGCACCAGTGTCTAATATGTGAGAAGGAGTGTATGGATCTGGCCCCGGAAGTAGGGACTTAGTCTAAGCCATGCCCAACACCTAAAATAACACTGAGCATGTACTAAGTGAGGTGAAATGAAGTGAAAGTCACCCAGTCATGTCCAACTCTTTGAGACTCCATGGACTGTAGCCTGCCAGGTTCCTCTGTCCATGGAAATTTCCAGGCAGGAATACTGGAGTGGGTTGCCATTTCCTTCTCCAGGGGATCTTGCCGACCCAGGGATCAAACCTGGGTCTCCTGCATCGCAGGCAGGTTCTTTACCATTTTAGCCACCAGGTGGTAAAGGTGGGCATAGAGTAGGTGCTCCACAAATAGTTGTCTGGTGAAATGAGCTCTAAAGATCCATGCAAAAGACTGTGGGGGCACAGAGAAAGGGCGATTCGCTTTGTTTAAGAGACAGAGAGGGGAAATGACTGGGAGAATCTGTTTGACCTGGGCCTTAAAGGATGAATAGGAGTTTGCCATGGAAAGGGTGGAAGAAGGGAATATAGGCAAAGAGAAAAGCAGCAGAGGGTGGCTTGATTAAAATGCATGGCATACTTGGAAGGGGTAATTTGTCCCCAGGCTGGAGCAAATACAATGGGGCCAGACCTACAAATGGATCCTCGAAGAGCCTCTCATGGGATCTCTCTCCCCAGTCCCACTCTGGGCAGCACCCAGGGGTTGATGGAATGCCACTATGAGCACCTTGCCAAGGGGTCTGGCCCTGTTCCTTCCCCACAAATACCTGGAACCAGGTGTGAGGCCAACCAGACGGCCCACAGGCTGCCCCCTGCAGCTTCTGCCCACCTGCATGCCTGGAGCACCAAAGCTTTGAGCAGCCGACAGATGTGATCAGATCTGTGTTCTAGAAAGATCGCTAGCTGCAGGAGGGTATAAGTGGTTGCTATGGTAGTTTTCAAGCTGTGGTTGGAGCTGCAGGGGAGGTGGAAGCACTTGGCCAACTCGCTAAAAGCCAGTTCCCAAGTGTAAGTGCTTCTTGTAACTGTTCCGCTTTCATTGACTGGTTTTAATTTTGTTATCAAAACTGCGTTTTAAAAATGTTTATTTTATCTCTATCCCTGCTCCATGCTGCCGTGGGTGGAGATCTAGGATTTCAGAGATGAGGGACTGAGGGCTAAGAGAAATATAATCCCTGAATACGAAGGTGTCTTCTGAAGATATTCTTTATCTCTGAGAAGGCTCTTTTCTTACTGTATTTTCATATTGAACATTAATACCTTCTTCTGTCCCCCTCCTGTGCCCCTCAGATTCTCCTTTCTCTGCTCCTGTCTCAGGCTGCATTAGTTGGGAGCAGGGCAGAGGTGAATTGAACATTCCTTAGATTGCAGTTCTGAAGATAAAAATATGATTGACCAACTGCATCTAAATAGCTGAAGCAAACAAGTACATTTAGCCAACTGACCTTTGACCGTTTTTGGCAAATTGGCTTCTGCTGAATCAACTCAGCTCATTGCCTGGAGCTGAGGAGACTTGCTGGCGGAGCAGCAAATGTTCTTTACTCCAGGCATCGAGGATGGGGTGGATGTGCAGGACCAAAGGCAGTGGGCTTGGAAGGGATGCCAAGAGGCTGAGCTGGTTTCTGTCACGGACAGGCCGAGTGGGAGATGCTGGCAGGATGCCTGGGCTGGGGTGTCCACTTGGTAGCTGGGCTCGCAGATACGGAGCTTTATGTGAGGGGTCGAATTGGAGCAGTGTTCCCGGTGATTTAGTAGTTGGAGTCACGGGGAAGATCTCCTCAAGACAGAGCACAGCAGAGCAGCGTCCGGGGTGCTGGGAGGAGCCTTACTGGCTCCAGAAGAGCGCGTCTGGGAGGACAGACCTAGGGAGAAGACCCTCCCCACGAGGCCTGGGCGGCAAGGATAGTTCGGTGTGCAGGGTGAGGAGGGTGGGAGAGAGAGCAGGGGCAGGGAGGGAGGGAAGGCCTGGGGACAATGTGGGAGGTGACTGGCATTTGGGCCTGAAGAGGCAGATGGAGGGATTTACGACTCAGGACAAGGGAGCAACAGTTCCCCCTGAGCCCCGAATCTGGAATCCACCAGGGAACGGTTGGGGCGGGACGGCTGCTCCTTGAGCTTAGACTTTCTCACAGAGGAAGGTGGGTGGGCAGGAGGCTGTTGGTGGGCACGCAGCTGTCGGGACCCCCTGAGGACGTGGCAACTGAGGTTGGCGAGCATGATTGTCAGGAGTGCTGGCGTCCCCTTGGGTCTGTGGGCTGTTGGGGGGCTCAAGGTGGCAGAGGGCCCCCAGGATGAGGGCACCGAAGGGGTGAGTGCATGTCAGGGAAGCTAGAGGGGCTGAGGGGTGGTGGGCGGTTATTCCAGGAGACAAGGACAGAGTCTGGTGAGTGGAAGCTGAGTTGGGGAGAACAGTGAGGAAATGGAGGCCCAGGAGACACAGCCCATGGGTGGCAGCTGCTGACATGGGCAGAGGGGGAGGCTGTGGAGCGTTCTGGGCTCTGGATGCAGGCTGAGCACCGACAGGAGAGGGCGAGGGCCCAAGGGGCGGGCGGGCCGGGAGGGTGTATTGCTCTTTCGAGTCCACAGGCCACGTGCTCCAACATCAGGTACCAAATGATTATTTCCTCCCGGAGCGTGGGGCCCTGCAGTCTGGGTGGGCTTCACCTGCTCAGCGGTTCCCAGGCTGGAGAAGAAAAGGGGTGTCCTGTGCTGAGCATGTGGGGGAGGGTCTCTGCAGGGCCCACGGCTCCTTCCTGGGATGACACAGGTTTGGCAGGAGGCAAGCTGGGGGCTGGTGAATACAAATGCCCCAGAAGCTGCTGACCCCGCCCGCTTCTCCTGGTGCCAGGGTCCCAAAGGCTGCCCAGAGACCAGGTTCTGCTCAGGACCAGGCAGGGGTGGGCTGAGCAGAGGCTGCAGCACCCTCCCCACAGACCACCCAGCGGTGACCAGCCAAGCCCCTGGCTCATTGACCACACCTGCTTCCTCCCATCTGGCCCGAACCTTTGCAGGCAGGTCAGGGAGGGGATAGGCTGACACCACCCAGGATGACCGCCTGCCTTGTACATGGTCATCATGCTACATTACCTGTCGTCATGGTAACTGGTGACCCTGGGCCAGGCCTGCCTGTGGCATGGGGAGAAATAAGATTGCTGAGTGGGCAGTGAGGCCCGAGGAGGAGTGCCAGGTGGAGACAGTACCCGGCATGCAGCTTGAAAGCGGCAGCTCTCGGGTGCACCGGGCACTGAGAGTGGCCTTCTGGTCTGCTTTCCCAGGAAGTTCTCCCTGGACGACCTGCTGACGGACATCATGCTCTACTGGACAACGGGCACCATCACCTCCTCCCAGCGCTTCTACAAGGAGAACCTGGGACAGGTCAATAAGCATGAGACGTAAGTGCAGCTGGGCCTGCAGCGGGGCTTCTGGGGAGGGTACCTCCGAGACAAAGAGCAGGGGGATGGCCTACTTGGACTCAAAGGAGGACATTTGATACGGAAAAGTGCAGCCAAGCCTTGGGTGCACACCAGGGGTGTAGAATAGGAACACAATTTAAAGGAAGTCAGGGGTGTTGGGCCTCTCTTTAGAATTAGCTCACAGAAGCTAATGGAGACAGCAGCTCCCTTTGCTGCCAGGCCTGGTCCCCAAACATCCCCAGGGGCTCCCCGAGGGCCAAGGCCAGCCTTAGGTGGCACAATGGTTCTAGAACTTCCCTAGGCCCCTTTCCAGATCTCATAGGGAGACCCTCAGGCAGCAGCAAAGAGAAAAGGGAGCAAAGGTGGGAGTTGGAGACTGTTCCCACCTTGGCCACACTTTTCAGCTGGGGCAGCCCTTCCAGAAAAGAGGGTCCTTATGGGGTTGGAGCTGAGGTGGGTGCTTAAAACCTAGGTCTGTCCTTTTATGGATCCATGTGGCTGAGCGAATCTGGCCGCCCCCCCAGCTCCCTGAACCCCTGCTGTGCGGGAGTGCTGGCCCTGCCTGCCCCTCAGTGAGATCTCCATCTCTTCCAGGTTGAAGGTGTACGTGCCCACGGGCTTTGCTGCCTTCCCCTGTGAGATGGTGCACTTTCCAGAAAAGTGGGTGAAGTCCAAGTACCCGAAACTCATCTCTTATTCCTACATGCCCCGTGGGGGCCACTTTGCCGCCTTTGAGGAGCCAGAGCTGCTCGCTCAGGACATCCGCAAATTCGTGGGGCTGCAGGAGCGGCAGGAGCGGCAGTGACCCCAGCGGGGACTGGCTGTCACCTCCCCGGCAGCCCCTGCCCTAGCATGGCAGGCTCCCTCCTGACACCCGCCCTTTTACAGAGAAGCCCCTGGTCTTGCAGCCCAGCTCCCAGTAGCAGTGGGGCTGGCAGGGAGACCACCCCCCATCTCTGGTCCTCTGTGGGGAGAGATGCCCCTTTTCCCAGGAATGTGTTTGCTGCCGTCCCCTGCCTGTGCTCGGACCCCAGGCTCACCCTTCCACCCGAACTCCCCACACACTTACTAAGCAACATGGCTTTGATAATAAATGATTTTTCTTCTAAGAGTGTTTGGAACAAGTGACATGCTGAGCCCTGATCCCACGTAGGGCGCCCCTTCCCGCCGAGCTGGCAGGCCTGCCGCCTGTGTCGGGGCGGTGTCCTGTTCCACTCTTGCTGGGAGGCACGATGGACTGTTGGGGACACCAAGAGGCCACTCTGCCCATCCGGGTCCCCGCCAGGGGCAGCTCAGAGCAGAGGCAGCGAGGCCAAGTGACTGCTGGGGACCCTCACTGCCTCCCTTCAGCCGACCGGAGGCAGCCTCCCCCTCTGCCCAGACGCACCCATCTTGCAGGCTTGTGCCTCTGGCGCCCCCTGGAGGCAGTCAGGAGGCGGCTTCTCCAACAAGTGCCCAAAGCAGCATTGCAGCCATGGGGTCTGGTTAGGAGAAAAGGCAAGAGGGCTGCGTTCCTCCTTCTGTGGCTATAGTTCTCTCTTGGCTTCAAAGAGGCCCCAAGCTCTGTTCCCTCTGGAGGGAACAGACAGATGGAATCAAGGGCTGGAGATGGAGCCCCATGCACTGGACATGAAGAGGCGGGGAAGGCTGGATCTCTGCAGCCTGGCTGAGTGGGCACTTTATTAGTGGTCCTCATTGTCCCTGCTGCTGCAGGTGACCCCGACCCAGCCACCATGTCACTGGCAACATAAAGAGAAAAAAACGACCCTGGTGGGAATGTGGAGGAACTTGCTGCAGCCTGGCGCTGGCCCACACCCCTCCTGCTTCCTGCAACTCACTCCCGGGGTGAGGGCGGGGGTGGGAAGGGCCCAGTACCCGTGAGGGTAAGCTGGGATGGACCTGGACCACAATCAGGAACCCATCTCAGGCCTGTGGCTGCTGCAGCCTCTTTGGTTATCGGTGGTATGTGTGTGGCCTGGAGAAGGGTGGGCAGTGTCTGGATGCTCAAAGGGAGAAGGTCTTCCACACAGTGCAGCCCCTTCTTGCTGGATTCTGTCACCACACTGATGGGTTGGAGGGATATGGTTCCAACACACAATCCTACTAAAAATCACTGGGGACATCATTCCAGCCACAGAGCTGGGCGCTGGTGCAGGAGAAAGGGGACTTGGAAATAAATACAGCCTCAGGCAAGCGAGAGTCCAGGGCTGCACTTGCTCCCAAAAGAACCCCACCTGATGGCGGTCCCGCCCTCCCTGCTCAGCCAAGGGCCAGAGCCCCTTTCTGCTTTCATCTCTTTAGAATGCCTGTGCTTAAAACAGGTGGAAAGAAGTCGTGAACTTGGTTGAGCTCGAGAGCCAGCCGCCTCTCCACTTGTGTCTCTTCACCTCCTGACTCCCCAGGGCCCCAAGCCTGGACCAGCCTGGCAGTTCCCCAGCCCTCAGTCCTCCTGGTAGGTGGCTGCCACACTGTCCTCTGAGCTCTGTGCCAGACACTGCCCCCCAACAGTCCTGCTGATGTTGTTGATGGTGCCGTAGGTCTGCTGCTGTGGAGACAGGGCTGTTTTCTCCGAGGACAAGCCGTTCAGAATCCGGGGCACGTAGGGCTGCCAACAAATGGGGGTGTTAGTGCTTGGAGGGCTGGGCACAAGATTCCAGACCCCATTCTCCCCCTACTGTCCCAACTCCCTCCAGCAGGAAGACACACAGAATTCTCACGAAGAACACATAAAGAAACAACATCAGCTTAGGACATGAGGACCTAAAGGACAGCAACTGGCACATTCTCCCAGCAGCCAGAGCAAATCAGAAAGCACAGCCACATAGTTCTCACGGTCCTAGAGAAGAAAGCACACCTCTTTCTCAGAGGAGACAAAACGACCTCAATTCTAGAGGAAATTTTTGGAGGAATCAGGTCTATCGACACAGGACAGGTTTAGAATGCTGTCAGTGGGATTTCTGAGTAGCTGAGCGAATCCGTGTAGGCTGTGCTTCCTCGCAATCCCAGACTCCGGCTGCCGACCCCAAACCAGGCTGAGAATGAGGGGTTTACATCCGCCATCTGCCGTATCTGGCAGGCACACTCAGAGTGGTGCCTCTGGACGATGAATCTTCCTGAAACCACCAGGGCTGGTCCAAGGACAGACACTGATAAGAGTGCCTGACACGTGGAGGGAGCCGCTGGAAAGAACAGTGCTACTGACCCAGATCGGCACTGTCCTAGCCCTGTCGGTCAGTCCCAGCCCGATCCATCAGGCCAGCGGTCACAGCTCTGGGAGCTTGGGGCTCCATTCTCCTTTCCCAAGCCCACCATAGGAGCAGGACCCTGGAGGCCAGAAATGGGGAGAACCAGGAAGGAAAGGAGTCCTGGTATCTTTCTAACACGGTGCCCTCCTCCAAAGCAGGTGCCATGCTCATCTCCTGAATTCAGAGAGGAGTTAGTGTGACGCCCTCTTAATGCCTCATGAAGCACCTCCCACAGGCAAGTGCTGGTGAAATGCTCTGATAAACCTTCATCAAACCACAGGGCCTTGCGAAATGGCTTTGGTAAAGGCCCAAACTCCCCAAGCATTAAACATGCAGAGGAGGAAAGAGATGAGGGGTGGGAGGGCTGCTCCAGAGGGTGGGGGTATATGTATACTTAGAGCTGATGCTCACTGTTGTCCAGCAGAAACTAACACACATTGTAAAGTAATGATCCTTCAGTTGAAAAAACAACAGCAGCAGCAACAACAACAAAAACTCACCAAGCATTAAATATGCAGAGAAGGAAAGTGAGCAGGGAACTGAAACCAAGGGGGATGGGTGTGTATCATGGTAAAACTAATTATCTTCTCGGTGATGGATGTGGCTTCACACATGCAAGAGAAAACATCCGGAGGGACCAGGGATTCCTTCTCAAATGACATTAATTCAGAAACCCTCCTGCCACATGATCAGGCGACTTCTGTCTTAAGAGAGAAGATCGAAGCGTGTTTGCAGGGCCCATGTGGCTGGGCCTGTGCAGGTGCTCAGCGCTCAGGTAAGAAACACACTTACTATGAATGGTGAAGGTACGTGGGCCCCTGCCTCATTGCCTTTGTCACTCGCGGATTCTTCTGTCTGCAGATAACAGCAAAAACTTGCAATGATAAACAAAACTGATCTTTCTGAACTAACACCCTCTAAACAAACAGACTATTAACACCCAGAATAATAGTACCAGCTGGCACAAAGCTACCAGCAGCAGCCCAAGAGAGGATGGGGTGGCGGAGGGGAAGGCAGCGTAGGGAGCAGGGAAGGGGGAGGGCGGGGAAGCTACACATCATAGCCAGCTACCCACGCCTTCCCCATGGATAAATAAAATCTGGAGAGGGCTGCTGATCTGTTGATATGGGAAGAGGTGGAGGAGGACTGGAGGATGAACCCAACCACCTTCTGCCAGACTCTGGCGGGGCAGCGATCAGGGAAGGGCCCTTTACCTTGTAGTTGAGAGGGCTGAGGTGCTTGAAGCATCCAAAGCAGGTATATGCCAGGCAGACCAGGATGGTGAGCAGCAGCACCAGGAAGGTGAACAGGGTGAGGGGAGCCTTCAGACCTGGGGACAAAGGGGTGCCAGCTTTGATGGAAGGAGGTCACACCTGCTGCATGAACTGTTGTGCGGCTTCTCTCTCAGGCCAAAAATAAAAGAGAAGACATCATTCCTGCCCCCTTCCCACCATCTCCAGCAGCTGGGATGCTGTCTTCACCCCCAGGGGGCACACAGAGTGATGTGCAGAATTGCTGCCATTCTCCCAGGTCAATTTCGGACACTGGGGCACTGAGTCAATGGCAAGAGGCCAACCTCCTTGCTGGGTTGATTCCCTCCAGTCTCCAGCGCAGAGTCAGGCATCTCTTCTGCATTTTCCTTTTTCCCAAGAGTAGCAGTTTTCCCTCCTGCCTGCCCCTACCTCCTCCACACTGTGAAGTGTGAGGACCTGGACCCATCCACACCCTAAAAGAATCACGTGGGCAAACTTCCCTCTCTCCTCTGGTCCAGTCCCTTCATCTTCCCTGTAAGGCTGTCTGGGGCAATGGACCTGGCTTTCACCAGCTTACAGATGACCTCAGGAGCTGGGAACTGGGTTGTCAGTGCTGCACCCAATCAGCCATCACCCTGGGGTACCACCTTCTGATTGGACACCAAGCTGATGCTCTTAAAGCAGTGAGAGATTTGACTGGCTGGTGTTGACGTGGGGATGGGAGGCTGGGGGTGGCCTCCGGCCCTCCACCCCCGCCCTAGTTGGCAGGGCCCCTTACCCAGGCGCAGGAAGGAAAAGAAGTAAAGCCAGAAGAGGCACAGGATGGGAGCGGCCAGGGCCTGGTTCACGGCCGCGAAGTGGATCCTCTTCTCCAGCTTGGCTGGCAGGTAGGCAAAGTAGAGGTTGTGCCGGTCCACCATGTGCTTGAGCAGGATGTAGATGAGGCCTGCAGAGTCAAGGCTGTGAGCTGGATCTCGGCTGGGCCCAGGGGCCGCTCTGCTCCCTTCCTCCTGGAGGCACTTTTGGTGCCAGAGCTGGAGCCAAGTCTGCTGCCGGGCTCCATGCATACCTGCATCTCCTGGCTCTCCCTGACCCTGCCTCTCCCCTTCTCTCCTCTCCCTTCTTCTTCCCCTTCCCTAGCCCCTTTCTGACCCCAGGGAGTAGAGGTTTCTGTGTATCCTCAAGGATCACTGCAGTTCTAGGACCATTTTGGGGAAAGAGGAGATTTTACACCCAGATGCCTGGCCTCCATTTCCTCCCACACTGAGCAACGCCCCCACTGGGCTGAGTCCCTCCCCTTACCCCTCAATGCTCCCACTCTCCTCTCCTTTTCCCACCCAAGCCGACCCCCTGCACCGTCACTGTCAACAGATGCCCAAACCCAGGGATGGCACAGAAGGCATGCAGATGCTGCTTTTTCTATTATGTCAGGTTCTTAAAAAAAATTTTTGTTGTTGTTGCTTTGAAAGAGTAATACTACTGTAGACCTTTAAAATAGTACAAGAGATTATACAGAGAAAACGAGAACTTCCTCCTCTCCCTAAACCTCAGCCAACAGTCTCCTGGGTGTTCTGTTTCCTTCCAGAGTCTTCCATTTGTTGCCAGCTCCTGAGGGTGTATTTTATTTGCAAGACCTTGGCCTTTTAAGTCAAGGAGACCTTGGCCTTCAAAGTCCTGAGTTCAAATCCTGCCTCCAGCGTCTCACTACCACAGTGTTAAATGCTTCATCTGTGAAAAGGGTGCAGAAACAAGACCTGCTTTGAAGGATTGTGAGAGAGTCAAGTGTGGTAATCCACGTGGAGGGCGACAGTGGCGGCCACAGTGACAAATACGAGGGCCTCCCCCAGGGCTGCCAGAGAACCAGCCGAGAAGGAAGCACTCAGCCAGGCCATCAGAGTGGAGGAGGACTCAGAGAGGTCTCAGCTTGGAAGGCCAGTGGCGGCAGTCCATGAGAAGTGAAATTCTATTTGGTGTGGCTCCTTGTGGTTCTCAGGGTTGCAAGAGGCCCTCTGTCTGGGGTGCTCCATGAGACCTGGTGCTGCCTGTCCTGGGGAGCCCAGCGGAAATCAGCCACCCGCTTACCCTGGGACCCACCCCAGGGCCGCTCACCAAATGGCACAATGAGGGGGCAGGTGATGCTGTAGGCCATGATGACGGTGAAGACACACAGCATCCACGCATACATGGCTCCAAACTCGAACTCGAAGGCCTGGTTCTGAGAGGGGGAGATGGTGAGGAACTCAGGGGTTTGGTCCACCCCAACCCACTGCCATGCTCTCTTAGGTGGTCAGGGAGAACACACTGGGGAGGACTTTGGAAATGGGAGACTCACAGCGACCCCCACCTCTTAAGGAAGGCCCTTTCTGCCCCTCCACAAGCCTCCTCCAGCTTCACTTAGCTCACACCCAGAGCTCTCAAGGCATGATGACTCATGTTTTCATAGTGTTTTTCTTGTTCTAATCATGTGTACCCAACAGGCCTAGGAGCCTCCAAAGACAGAGGGGGTGCGTCTGACTGTAGAACGATCCTCCAAGACTCTGGCATGAGACCCAAGGTCAGCTCCGGCCCTTCGAGCCGTGTGCCTCAGCCAAGCATTCGACCGCCCCGTGGCTCAGTCCTTGCGTCTGCAAGGTGAGCTCCAGTAGGGCCCATCTCACAGGGGCTCTGAAGATTCAGTGACAGGATGCAGGGCCTCTCCTCTCATGGTTCCCACAACAGCAAAGGAGAGTAAAAGAGAACCCCACACACCCAATTTAGAGTCTTAAAACAAATGCCATCAGTCCCAAATGCCTTTGACTTCTGGGGTAACCTAAAAATTTATGCAAATGGAGGACTATGGGAAAGGAATGTATAGATCTTAGTTGTGTGAATGTGTATGTTTGTGTGTGTGTGAGATCAGGCCAGTTAAAATGCAAAAATCCCCACTCTCTCCTCTGCCCGAGACAGAGTGGATGGAGGATGATGTAGCCAGGCCACCTTCACACAGGTTCCTCACACCTCCACTCCCCGAAGTGGGGCCCTGGGCCGAACTAAGAGGCCCTGAGCACAGTGCCTGGCACTCCGCTAGGTAAACGTGGTTGGTGGGGAGGCTCGAGAAGAAGGCAGCACCCACATCTACCCCCCGTACCTGCTTGACGTTCCTGCGGTCGGCCGCGGTCTTGGCCATGACCATGCGGAAGGTGTAGAGAATGAGGCCGGGCAGCCGCAGTAGCTCCATGCCGTTGCCGATGAAGGCCGAGGCGATGACATAGTTCACAAAGAAGGCGCCCTGGTCAGGCAGGAAGACGCACCTGGGGAACCAGCAGGTGTGCGAGCTGAGCACACACCCAGGGAGGGAGAGGAGCTCGCAGCTGGGCAGACGAGGGACTGAGAACTGACCATGGATTTGGCCATCTGGCTATCACTGTCAACCTAGACCTGAGCGGGTTGGGTGTGAGTTTATCTGTGGCTGCCAGCTCCCAAGTCCTCAGTTCACCCAGCGAGAACTTAAGAAAATTCACTCTCTCCTTTCAGTTAGGCATGGCTGGGCCTCCCTGTGAACACTCCCTTAGAAAAGTTTATCTTGAACCTTAGGGTCTATGTCAGGACCTACAGTGTAGTACAAGAGGGACTGGGCTGTATCCCAGCTCTGTCTCTTAACTGGCTGGGTAGCTTTGGGCAAGTTCTTCAACACCTCTGGGCCTCAGTCTCCTCATCCGTAAAATGGAAATAGTCATCATTTCTGCCTCATAGCTTGTTGTGAAGATTCAATGAGAAACAGAATAAAGCATTTAGCAGAGCATCTTCTTAAATAACAGGAATTATTATTAAAAGGGTGTGGTATAAGCTGAAAATACTAACAAGGACACACATTTAGAAATAAGTTTAACTCCACTCTCATAGCAAAAATAACTTGGGACCAGACAGTTATTCTGGTCGCAGTGTTAATTACTATTCCCCTTTCCCTTCCCTGGCACCCCTGAGACCTAGCAGTTCCCTCTCCCCAAGCGGTTCTGTTCTCAGTAAGTACGTTTCAAAGGATGAAGGAGACTGTCACTAATTGAGTTTTAACCTAAAAGATTAACCACATTTCTGCACATGTAGCACAAAATGGGTCAGTTCCCAGGGTGCAGCCCAGCCAGGAAGTTGGAGGGGTGATGGGGAGGCTACAAGCAAGCTGAAGCACAGACTACCCTCCCCCTCTGTCACCCAAGCCCCAGCCCCTGGGGCACATTCACCTGGGACCTAGAGCCAGAACTCAATGTAGCCGATACTTACTCCAACCTGATAGAGGCCTCTGAGGACGTTTTATCAAAGAGCCACCGGAAGAAAAAATCCAAACTGAAAGAAAAATAAATCTTGTAAGAATTCATTTCCAATACTCCATGTGATCATACCTATATTTTCTTTTTTTTTTGCTTTCTGCTTTTTTTGATTGTTGTTTGTTTTGTGAAAGGCCTAATCTCAAGATCTACATTGGCTTTCTACATTGCATGCACACTGGTTACTTATTACACCATAACTTATCAGGGCCTGCTTTCACAAAAGCTTCCTTCCACAGAATAACCAAAGCCATGATTAGACTCACTCCCTAAGTGGAAGGTCCATGATATGTTTCATTTTCAAGCTTTTTTGTTTTTAAGGCAGAAAGAGCCTATCTCTGGAAGTATCAGTGGGCCAGCACAACTGCATTCCAAGAGGGTGTGACAGGTTTAAATGTTGTTAAGGAATTTGCATCCACTTGCAAACCATTTGCACTTTCTGGGAGACAGCATTCTCTGGATGTGACCTTGGTTCTGAACTTAGAGCAGGAGGTGGTAATGTGTACCTGGTGAGGCCAAGGGAGGGCAGGATCAGCACCATGAAGATCAAGAATATGTAGACCTTGGTCATCATGATCCGGTTCTCTCCTGACCTGCAGGAAGTCAGACGTGAGCCCTTGCAGTCCCTCAGACGCCCCAGGTATTCCCAGGAAAGCCCCTGCTGGGTGCCCATCACGCTGGTAGGCTGGGGGGCCAGAGACCCCCTTCCTCAGGGGTGAGTCTCGGAGAACTCACTTGGTCCAGTGAGATTCCAGCAGCGTAGAGTAGTAGACGATGGTGGGGAGCAGGGCGGAGAAGGACCACAGGAGGAGGGTTGGGAAGAACTGGCTGATGATGGGATCCTAGAAAACAGTCCATAGCAGAGAGAGCTGTGAGCCTGAGCGATCTGGGTCATGACCTGTTGGCATGGAGTGGAGACTCAGTGAACTCAGGGGTTTTGGTCATACTTGTCCCCTAGAACCAATGCTGTGCCTGGTACAGGGGAGATATTCCATTAACGTTGGCTGAATAGATGATAACAGCACCTGACATTTGTACAGCTCTCTTTTTTTTAAATTTTGGCCATGCCACACAGCATGTGGGATCTTAGTTCCCTGACCAGGGATTGAACCCACGACCCTACAGTGAGAGTGCCAAGTCTTAACCACTGGACCTCCAGGCAAGCCCCTGTATTGCGTTTAGAGGGACAAAAGCAACGTCACATACAACCGAACTCCACTTATCTTCCTGGCCAGATAGAGAACCTCTTCTGTTCCCTATAAAAAGCCAACAGCAGACACCAAAGGAAGATGTAGTACTGATGGCTGGGGCCCCCTCCCCAGCATCCTGCCCACTCAGCTCCCACTGGTCCACTCGTAGCTCCCCAAAACTGTGCCATGTTAGTTCCCAATCTTGTCTATGCCTGTTGTTATTGCAGTTTCATGGTTCAATTAACTTATTACCTTCTCTGACAAAATGAGCCTTGTAACAATAGAAGATTTCTTTGAAAACTAGGTTGGATACTTTGGAAAGACTTGATAAAGGTGAATTTCTGAAAAGGTGAATTTCTCCTGTTGAACTTAAGAGTAAATTAACTGAAAAAGAGCAAGGAAAATGAAATCTAGGATTCTGTACTTTGAATAACTTTCTGCAAGTATCTTTAAGTTCTTGCTTTACTGTAAGAAACAAAAACTAGAATCACAAACAATGAAATAAGGGTGTGTTTTATGTAAAATAGACAAAGGAGAATTCTAATCAGCAATTCCTTCCTCAAAAGAACAGGCCTTGACCATACACTATTGTTGTTTAGTTATTAAGTCAAGTCCAACTCTTTTGGGACCACATGGACTGTAGCCCACCAGGTTCCTCTGTCCATGGTATTTCCCAGGCAAGAATATTGGAGTGGGTTGCCATTTCCTTCTCCAGGGGATCTTCCCAACTGAGGGATTGAACCTGCATCTCCTGCATTGGTAGGCGGATTCTTTACCACTGAGCCACCTGGGAAGCCCAACCATACATTCAGTCAGTTCAGTTGCTAAGTCATTTCCTACTCTTTGCGACCTCATGGACAGCAGCACGCCAGGCTTCCCTGTCCATCACCAACTCCCTGAACTTGCTCAAACTCATGTCCATGGAGTTGGTGATGCCATCCAACCATCTCATCCTCTGTCAACCCCTTCTCCTCCTGCCTTCAATCTTTCACAGCTTCAGGGTCTTTTCTAATGAGTCAGTTCTTTACATCAGGTGGTCAAAGTATTGGACCTTCAGCTTCAGCATCAGTCCTTCCAATGAATATTCAGGACTGATTTCCTTTAGGATTGACTGGTCTGATCTCCTTGCTGTCCAAGGAACTCTCAACAGTCTTCTCCAACACCACAGTTCAAAAAGCATCAATTCTTCAATGACATGCTGAAAAATCTCAACAAAACTTATGCCTTTTTTTTTTATTATCTATTGAGCCATTTATCACAACAGCCCCATGAGTATAACATGGCAGCATGTTATAGAAGAAAAACCAGTTTTTTAGAGGAAAAAGCAAGGCTCAGAATTCATCAGTTAGGAATGGCAGAGTTAGGACCAGGCCCTCAGGCCCTCTGTCCACTGTGTGTTTCCCAGGGTATGATTAACCAAATGCCAAGTGGAACTGAAAAAAACAAGGCTGAGGATGATATTTCAGCAAAGCCAATTATGGGAAACCAAGTAGATGCCATTTTAGGGAATGTTTAGTTGTTATCAACTCATGTAAGATTTTTTAAAAATCATTCATTAGCTATCTAGAGTAAATAACTTTACAAGATTACCAGAAACTGAAATGTAAAAAAAGACAACAATAATAATTGATTCATGATCTTGCTATCCCAGAGAACAAAAGACTTTTCATTCTTTGCTAGCCACACCCCACAGCAGCACACTTCACGGGCCATCACTATGATCACTGCTGAGAGACAATGTTATATCCTGCTCTTATCATAAGCTCCCCATGTCTGCCACAAAGTCTATATAATTTTTTAATGAATGCTTAACGGTCTATCAGACTGAATACACCTCATTCAACTCAAATTTCCCCTATTGTTGAACATTTAGATTGAGTCCATTAGAGTTTTATCTATGTTTTTATAGTAACACACATACACATACATATACATGCATGCACACACACACATATATATACATATATATAACATTACCATAAACACATTGTAATAAATGCTGGCTTATATGCCCAGGGCTTAAAAACACAGACATGAGTCAAGTGGTTCAGTTTGAAACTAAACTCCTGGTTTAGTTTGACCCCCACCCTGCCACCCCAGCCCTTGGCCTCATCCCTCCACCTCCCACTCCCCCCTCTTATCGCCAGCCCCCCAGGAGGGGCCTTGCAGAAGGGTCACTCACGTTCAGGGCATGGATGGGTTTGGTGACGTTGAACTTGTCCATGGTGGACAGGATGATGGAGGGTGTGGTCAGGAAAAATAGCCCCACGAAGAGGACGAAGTTGATACCCAGACATTGGAACCACCAGCGGAAGCCCTGAACGGAGAGGTTCTTCCTGCAGAGAGGAGGACACGGGCCCTGGAGGCTTATCTCTCAGGCTCTGGTCACCTAAGACACCAACAGTGCACTTGGCTAAGGTGGGTCAGAAGGTCAGATTCAGGCAAGGCAAGCGACTAGACCAAGGGCTCCAGCTGAGGGCTCGTTCTGACCTCAGGAGCACGGGCAAGCATCCTGCACTGACCTTCAGCTCCAAGAAGGTCAAACTTGGGGTCCCTGTGAGCTCAGGGGGGGAAACAAGCTATTTGCTGCTAACATGGCTCCTCAGCTAGAGTCGGGCCAGAACCTACCTGAAGAGACGCCATGAGCCCCCAAGCAGACCAAACAGGCTCCAACGTGGCATTTCTCAGACACACTAGAGACACATGACTCCCAAGGGGCCCATGAGCTGGGGTGTGAGGAGGAGGGAGGCAGGGGACAAAGGCGAAAGGCCCATCTGGAAACTCCCTGCCTTCTTGCCCCCACCAAGAGCAGAGTGATAACCAGTCGCGAGTTTAGAAAGGTCAGCAACCCAAAGAGCAGAGCTGCCGGGGCTGACGCGCACAGCCAGCAGGGGCGAGAGCCCAAAGCTCGCCCTGGACAAGGAACTGAGGCCAGGCTGGACGGCGAGCCGAGCTGGGGCCTCTGCCGGGCCGTCCTCGCCCTAGGCATCGTGCCTCAGGCTCCCGTGGACACAGCTCAGGTCACCAGCTTGTGCCCCAGGCCAGAGGCAGCTGGCACTAAATGCAAGGCTGCCCCGTCTGATACAGTAGCCTCGGGTCACAGGTGGCTGCTGAGTGCTGACATGCGGCTGGTCTGGACAGAGAAGTGCCAGAAATGCCAAATACGTGCTGGATTTCAAAGACCACAGCATATGAAAAGGAGACTGTAAAACCTTTCAATATTTAAAAATTGATTACACGTTGACATGATAACATTATACATATATGTATATAGGGAGAATTCTTATGAGAGTTAATTTTAATATTTTTTTTAGACCTGTCTTTATTTTTATTTTGGGGGCTTTTTTGGCCACACCACATGGCTTGCAGGATCTCAGTTCCCTGACAAGGGACGAAAACCAGGCCACGGTAGAGAAAGCCTGGAATCCTAACCATTAGGCCAGCAGAGAACTCCCCAGTTTCTTTTACTTTTTATAATGTGGCTAAAAGGAAACGTAAAATGACACACACAGCTCCTGTTATAATCCTACTGGACACCGCTGATGCCAGGGAGAAACCCTGGAGTGAAGCCCCGGATGTGGCTAGGCGCCCCCATCATGCCCCCCACCCCCAGCCCAGAGGGGTGCGGGAGAGCATGCGTCTCCCTGAGCGCTAGGTCACACCTGTGCTTCCAGGTGACCTGGGCGGCCCCACAGGACACCCCAGCTTCTTTCTCACCCCTTCCTGGCTGTGGGCTCACCAGCAGATGTCCTCGGGGTAAGTGGCGAAGGTGACGGTCCACCTGGAGACACCGAGCTCTCTGCCGTGGGACGACGGCTGTGGCTCACCTTTGCACTGCAGGCCCTGACACTTGCAGGCGTTGAAGTCCTTCACGATGCTGCCAGGAAATGCAGAAGTGGCCAGGGTCCAGACCCCTCCGGGTACCATGTCCACACGTGGCAAACAGGCCCATGTGAGAGTGGGAGCCCTGTGGCACCGGGCTTCTGCTTTATCACTCGCTTATTATAATTAATGCTATGAAAGAGATGCCATTCTCATTACACTGTGTGCAGAACTTTGTTCGATCCTTAGAACAAGCCTGCCAGTCAGGGGTTACCGTTACTATTTTACAGCCGAGGAAACGCAGGCGCTGAGAGTGAGGTTTGCGTCCCAGCTGTCTGACTACAGGTCCTGTACTGTTCCCATCACCCCAACACAGGGGGCGCCTCCTTGCGTGCTGCCCCCCTGCTACACGCCGCCTGTTAAGCTGGGTTCTGGTCACATCCCCCTGCCGGGTCCATGGCTTTACCCTTTCACTCCCTCACCTCCCCCCAGACCCCCTAGCAGCATTAGACTGCATTACTTATGACCCCAAGATACCCCTCCCTAGGACTCCCATCTCCACCTTCACCACTCTTTCCCCCTTTTGTCTCCCTAAAGAACCCACCAGCCCCACTACTCCCATCTCAGAACACCCTTCCCCTTCTCACTGGCCTTCCCCATACTCCACCTCACTTCAGGGTCTGCAAGGCACATCCAGGGGGTCTGTTCCCAGGGTTCACGCTGCCCAAGGCAGGGGAGGCAGGGGGAGGGGCATTTGCTGGGTCATCTCCCTTCCGCAGCACAGGGTGACATGGGGATCCCAGGCATGAGAGCGTTTTAGGAGCTAGAGCCTGTGCCGAGGTGAAAACCCACTGCCCTGGGCCAGGCTCCTGTCCGCAGTGAGCATTCCGCCCCCAGCGGTGCCACTGGAGGGAGCTGGGAAGGACACACGTGGAAGGAGAGTCTGATTCCAGAGTGGATATATAAAGGAGGTGGGGGTACACGCCACTAGGAGAAATGCTGGGCCACAAGGGCAAGAGGATCCCTGGGCAGCTGGTGAGAGCCGGCAGGGGGGTGAGGCTTCGGCAACCAGAGAGGGGCTCAGCTGCAAACACCCAAGCCCAGCCGTCACACCAACACAGGCTGGGCTCACCGAGGGAGTGAGTGGAGTGGGTGGCTGCCCCCACGCCAGCCACACCCAGAGGAGGAGATGCAGATGCCACAAACAAACCCCAGCGATGGCGGTCCGGCAAGACCATCTCAGCCCGAGAGGAACAGCAAGTTGTCTGGAAGCAAAGAACACACATGCACTCACTAGGTGGCCATGGACTTCTCCTGGAAGGTGACGAAGGCCATTCCCAGGGGCTGGTCCTGGACCCTGCATTCCTCCTCTGTGATCCTCTCCATCAGCCTGTCCTTCATGCGCGTGTAGTAGGAGATGGCGTCCTCCTATCAGAGGACACAACCCCTTGTGATGATGTGGCCTTGTGCGGGTGTCAGGGGGCCCAGCACCCATGCCCCTGGTGGGGTGTGGGCCCTCACCCACTCACAACCCCACACTTCACAGCAGCAGAACTGGCCACAAGTCTTGGGGTTGATGAAGGTCTGCTGGCCTGTCTTCACCTGCAGGTTTGTGTAGTAGGTCAGGCTCTTCTCAGTCTTTTTTCTGTAGTGGGAGGGACACACATCAGACTCGCAGTCCTGTGGTGTGACTCACAGCCTCCACATCCGTCATCACCCACTGGTCACCACCAGCTTTCTACCACCCTCCTCCCATCCTCACTGGGGGAGCCGAGGCCAGCAAGGAAGGCAGGTGGGCATCTCAGAGGGAAGCGGTCAGAAAGCTGCAGGCCAGCTTTGCCCATGCCCACCGCCCCGCCAGCTCTCCCTTACCTCTCTCTGCACAGGTGAATCAGCTTGGCCACATTGTAGCACAACTGGACCTCCACCACTTCACATGTGGGATACGCATCCCTGTGCCCCAGAAGCAAAAGAAGACCACTGGGAAACAGAACCCCTGCCCCTAGCAGGGGAGACCCCGAAGACTCCGGGGTGTCACAGCAACTACATTTTCATTTCTGCACCAGTGGAGACCTCTTTCCTCTTTGTCTTTTACCAAACAGGGAAATTTTGAAATATAATACAAAAAGGTCCTTTTTAATAGAAAGTAACTGCCTGAAACTGACAAGTTTACATCTACTTAGCTTTAAATCAGCACTTCTCCTGGAGAAAAAAATAACACTATCCATTACCTCCTCTACCCACACAAGGGAATAAATTTGTTGTTTGCTCCAGGTCATATCTACCTTAGACCATCACTGAAATCCTATTCAGTTTGTGACGCTTTTGAAGATCACAGGTCTAATGAAAGCAAAGGACCCTTAGCCCAGTAAATGCATTCACAAATCATAGTAAAATACTGTATGTATACTTATTCTTGGCCAGGTAAACTGTTACAACATTAACTTATCTGATCCTCACCATGACCTGTGAGGTTTTGGGGCCCACTTTACAGATGAAGAAAATAAATGCCAGAGAGGTAAAATAACTTGTGATCAAGATCACACAACTAGTGCAAGTCTAAGCCAGGAAGGGAATTCAGGTGGCCCAGGTCCAGACCCACACCTGTATCCACCATACGATGCTCCCTCACCATATACACATAATCATATGCACAACTCCTGGGCATTCCTGAACCATGTAAATCCCTATCTACTTCACACCAGGCACCAGGTACTGGGTGTGGAGCCTAGAAAAGTTTACATTTTAGTGAGAGAGAGACAGCCTGAAATTGTCACAATTTCAGGTCCCAATAGGAGGTTTGAGGAAGAGAACAACAGTGAAAGCATCCCTGCTACAAGGTTGATTCACACATCAATCCCCACGGATTGCATCAGTGTTCACTAGAAGGGCTTCCTAAAAGAGGAGAAAGCGTGACTCAGTGTTTGTAATGGGAATGCAAGGACTTTTTTTAAAATTTTCTTTTAGGTAATATATTAAATGGAGCTACTGTTTCCAAAGAGCTTCCCTGGTGGCTCAGTGGTAAAGAACCCGCCTGCTGATGTAGGACATGCGAGTTAGATCCCTGGGTTGAGAAGACCCCCTGGAGGAGGAAAGGGCAACTCACTCCAGTATTCTTGCCTGGGAAATCCCACGGACAGAGGAGCCTGGCAGGCTACAGTCCATGGGGTCACAAAGAGTCGGACACAACTGGGCACGTCCACATGCACTGTTTCCAGATGTTGCCTAACAGGACACTTGGGGGAGCTGTTTCAAGGAATCAAGAAAAATGATTCCAGTATCCAGTGTTTACATAGAGAAAAATATTTCTAAAATGCTTTGAGTTTCTGAAAGAGAGGTCAGTCAATAAATTTTAAACATTTCATTTTACAATTCTGTTTATACTAGTAACTTGAGGCCTGGCATACTGTGGTTCATGGGGTTACAAAGAGTTGGACGACTGAGCGAGTGAACTTGAACTTGAGCAATTTGCTTAAAGTGTTCTTCATAAATAAGGCAAAGCTAAGCCATGCTGTTGTTTAGTTGCATTTGAAGAACACACAGTTATGTTCTGTGTGACACTATGGACTGTAGCCCACCAGGCTCCTCTGTCCATGGGATTCTCCAGGCAAGAATACTGGAGTGGGTTGCCATGCCCGCCTCCAGGGGATCTTCCTAACCAAGGGATCTTCCCAACCCAGGGATCATACCTGGGTCTCCTGCATTGCAGGCAGATTCTTTGCCACTGAGCCACCAGGGAAACCCAAGCTAAGCCACAGCCAACCCCTAATCCATACTACCAATTATTGACTGCTGATGAGGAAGGAACATAGACTGAAACCTCAGCTCCCTAGCTGGGGTCCCAGCCCTCCAGCCCAGGATCCTGGGAGCCTTCGGGCCTGCTCTGCCCACACCACCCCCTTTCCTGGTGTGCCAGGATGGTGCTCTGCATTCATAGCGCTGGACACACGTAATTTCCTTCTCACAGGAAAGCCCTTCTCCAGCCTCCCTCTGCAGGAATCCCTGTGCAGGTGCTCAGAGGGGGCTGCTGGAAAGGAGTTTCTGGTGGGAGGGCTGTGAGTGAGCTCTGTGAGGACAGAGCTCTGGACACAGAGTGCTCACTCAGGAAACACACACTGATCGGAAGAATGGACCATGAAATGCAGGCCCAGGTCCTTCCCCTCCAAGACTTCTCCCTCTCAGGTATCTCATCTTCCGCAAAGTTGACACGGAGAAGCCCAGGGTGAATCCCTTTTTTTTTGGTGGGGACGGAGGGTTTCCTATGAATCCTTTTCTTTCCCCACTAGCTCTCAAGATGTTTCTCTGTTCCCACATGCTGGCCTGTACTCCGGCTAATGCAGTCACGTGGCTTCTGGCAGAGGATGCACCACCCCAGCCCAGGCCCTTGCAGCCCCAGCAGAGCTTGCCCACGGTAGCATCCAAGGCTCTGAGGCTGGGGCAGGCACTCCGAGGGTCTCTGTGGCTGCCCAAGCTCATCTAAGGCGCCCGTCCCACCCAGAGGGTGACCCCACTCCCCTTCCCTCCCAGCGGAAATGGCCCTGCTCACCGGAAGTGGCTCTCCACCGTCTCCTTCTTGGCATCTCTGGGGAGTCCCGTGACAAACAGGGTCCTCCTCACCTGCCAGAGAAACACACCAGTGAGAAAAATCACCAGGGCAAGCCAGTCTGCAGGAGGACACCCTGTTCAATCTGTTCACCCTGTTTTCCTCCCCAAGGAAAACAATGGGGGCTCAGGGGCTTAGAGGCTCATCTTCCAAGCCTGACAGAGCCTTGAAGTCTGTTATTTACATAGCATCTTTTCTAGGCAGTCAAAAATACATTTCCAGGGGATTCCCTGGCGGCACAGAGGTTAGGGCTCTGTGTTTCCATTGCAGGGGCATGAGTTCAATTCCTGGTTGAGGAACTAAGATCCCGCATGTCACACAGTGGCACAACCAAGAAAAAATACATTTCTAAAGCAATTTCTATGAGTCTCCTTTGCAGGACAAGAGACTGAGAAAAAACCCTGAGAGGGGAGGTGACTCAAAAGAGGTCACACAGCAGATCAGAGTAAGACCCAAGAGCCAACTCATTGGAAAAGACCCTGATGCTTGGAAAGATGGAGGGTAGAAGAAGGGGGCCAACAGAGGATGAGATGGTTGGATGGCAACATCAACTCAGTGGACATGAGTTTGAGCAAACTCCAGGAGATGGTGAAGGACAAGGAAGCCTGGTATGTTGTAGTCTGCAGTTCATGGGGTCACAAAGGGTCAGACATGACTGAGTGACTCAATAACAACAGAAACTTCCCCTACCCCCATCAAGTTGTGGGCTGCAAAGAGAGAAGGAACTGCTCTCAATTCAAACTTCTTGAAAGTTACTTAGAATCAGTAACTACAAGCCCAAAGCCCACAAATCTAAAGGCTAGTTTGCAAAATGGTGGGTAATAGCCAAATCCTAAAATAATCTATCCAAAAAAAAAATTCTAAATGCCAAAATTTTGAACACAAGCCTGAGGCCCTCTTGCACTCACTGTCATTGTGGGGCTGAGGAATAAGCGTTGTGCCACTCCTCTCTGGCTCCCACCCCAGACCCTCCCCAGCACACTCCCAGACCACCCCCTACTCACCAGGCTCTCCTCCTTGTACTTGATGGACTGGGTGTGGTGTCTCATGAAGACCACGGTGAGGATGAGGTAAAGGATAGCAAAGACGGTATGCAGCCAAAGGAGGTTGTCGCTGTGGGGAGAGGGGAACACCATCTGCCATCAAGGCTGGGCCCCCAGGTAGGGGCTGGGCTTGGTTAACTTCATGGCCCTGAGCTGAAGGCCAAAGGCTTCATCAAAACAGATTCCTTCAACGGAGGTGGCATGGCCAGTGCCCCTTTATAGAGGGCACTGTGCTGGCAAATGAACCCCAGCCCCATGTGACACCCCCGAGTCTCCTAAGACCCACTGCAAAACAACAGTAGCCTGGGGCGTGTCCACGCCCATAGCCCAGTGAGGTGCTAGTGGCAGAGGAGCTTTGGGACACCAACCCTCTCGCTCTGACCTCTCTGGCCACCCTCTCCTCGGTCTCACCCATCAGCACCCTCATGTCCACCCAGCCTCCCTGGACTCACTCAGTCTCCAGGTTTGCAATTGTTGTCCTCCCAAAGCTGTAAGGGTCTTTGACTGCAGAGAAGCACAGATACTCAGGGTCACACTAGAGATGTGCGGGGGGTAGGGGGAGGCAACCTTGGTTTGTGGAGCTCTGAGAAGGGGAAGGATAAGACATCCAGACCAATCCAAGGATGGTGACGCTTGCCCAGTCTTCAGACCTACACCACCCAAGGCCTTTGCTTTACTCCAAGATGGTCCTGACAACTTCTTCTCAAGCTACCTGAAGTCAAAATTTGACTTCATCTTGCTTTGAGATCCTCGTGGCATCCCTTTGGAAATCTAGAAACATCCTAAGCTGTTCCCAAAACCAAAGCTGAGAATCACTGGGTATAAGAAGTGGGTTCATGGGACTTCCCTGGTGGTTCAGTGGTTAGGAATCCAACTTCGAATGCATGGGGTGTGGATTTGATCCCTTGTTGGGGAGTTATTAATAGGATCCCACATGCCTCACAACCAAAAAAAAACGAAACATAAAACAGAAGAATACTGTAAACAAATTCAATACAGATTTTTTTTAAAATGGTCCACATCAAAAACCCTTAAAAAAAAAAAAGAAGTGGATTCATGATGGTGTTTTGGATGCTGGATTCCTGCGGGTGATTGGAAATAGAATTCCACACTCTGATTTTCACTCTGAGCATCACAACCATCTTCCAGATCCACTAACTGTGGCCACCCGATTTGGGTGGCGGCAAGAAGCTATAAAACACACTCTGAAAGCTCCGATCTTACAAATCTTGAGGTCTTCCTCCTACTTAGCTATTAGAGTCCCCAACTCTTGGCCCAGGTTTGGGGTGGATTCTCCACCAGACCTTTAATCAAATGGGCCAGCTCAGAAAGTCACCCTGAGGCCTTCTCACATCTGAGTTCAGCAGGAATCCTGGAGCTCTGGCCTAGCACCATGAGGCCCTTTCCCCAGGGCTGATGCTCTGCCTGGGGCCCAATGCAGGCAAGACAAGGAGTCCTTACCCAGCAAGTCCCCTGAGAGGTTGACAGGCAGGATGATGCACAGTGACAAGCAGCTGACCACCACCAGCAGGAAGATGATGTGTCTCTGGAAGGACAGGTAGTGGAAGGCATCCTCCCCACACCACTCCAGGATCTGGTCATCGCTGGCCAAGACACACACAGAATCCTAATGAGCAGTGGTACTGGGCCAGGCCCTTGGGGCCTCTTGTGGATTATCTCATTGAATCCTCATGACCGTCCAGGAGGTAGGACCCAATTTGACCCCCATATTACATGTGAGGAAACAGGAACAGAAAAATCACATTAACTTCTACAATCTGGGACTTCCCTGGTGGTACAGTGGCTAAGACTCCAAACTCCTGATGCAGGGGGCCCAGGTTTGATCCCTGGTCAGGGAACTAGATGCCACAGCTAAGGCCCAACACAGTCAAATAAATAATAAATAAACATTTTTAAAAAATAAACCTGTTACAGTCACCCAGCCTGTAATAGCAGAGCTATGACGTGAACTCCAGAGCCTGCCTCTCAGCCTCCACCCCATTCTCCTGGATGAAAGAACCTGCCACCACTCCACTTACTGTCTCTAGAAACATCTGTGCCTACGTTTGTATGGGAGTGAGGTGTGTAAGTACAGTTATCCCTCAGCCCTTTGCTGCATCCATGAATAAGCAGAGCCACTGATAAGAGGGCTGCTGGGAACCTTCTGAGCAAAGCTGTCTGTGTCAGGCTCACCGCCGCCACCCTTTCTCCTGTCTCCTTCAGACAAACTGGGAAAGAGAGGTGAGGTCACTGCTTTAAACACTGCAAGACTCTGTCCACCTGACCAGTCCTGCCTCCTCCTCGTGTCCCTGCTGTGGCCCCAGGGGTTGAGGGGGGTGGTGGGGATGGCAACCTGCTCCGCCCCTTCCCACCCTCAGTGCTGTATCTGGAGGCTCTGGGTCACCTGGGGACTCAGAAAATTAAAATTCTGGTTTCTCATAGCCAGATTTTCCTGCTACAGAGGAAGAAGGCATGGGAGCTATTTCATGAAGGTATCCTGAGGGTCTTGGTCTCAGAAGGCTAGGAAAGCACTGCACTGGGAAGAAGGAACTCAAGGAGGGACTACTCTGGGGGTCCAGAGGTTAAGAATCTGCCCTCTGATGCAGGGGACTGTGAGTGCGATCCCTGGTAGGGGAACTAAGATCCCACAGGCTGTGGAACAACTAAGCTACAATTAGAGAAGCCCGCACACTGAGACAAGAGAAGCCTGGGCACCACCACGGAGACCCAGTGCAGCCAAAAGAAAAGAAACAGCGCAGTAAGAAGGGCTACAGCGAATTGCCAACATCCGCTGGAAAGGCACGAGAGTTCCAGAAAAACATCCACTTCTGCTTTATTGACTACACCAAAGCCTTTGATTGGGTGGATCACAACAAACTGTGGAAAATTCTTCAAGAGCTGGGAATACCAGAGCACCTGACCTGCCTCCTGAGAAACCTGTATGCAGGTCAAGAAGCAACAGTAAGAACTGGACATGGAACAACGGACTGGTTCCAAATTGGGAAAGGAGTACGTCAAGGCTGTATATTGTCACCCTGCTTATTTAACTTATAGGCAAAGTATACCATGCAAAATGCCAGGCTGGATAAAGCACAAGCTGGAATCAAGATTTCTGGGAGAAATATCAATAACCTCAGATATGTAGATAACACCACCCTTATGCAGAAAGTGAAGAGGAACTAAAGAGCCTCTTGATGAAAGTGAAAGAGGAGAGTGAAAAAGCTAGCTTAAAACAAAGATCATGGCATCTGGTCCCAACACTTCATAGCAAATAGATGGGGAAACAATGGAAACAGTGAGAGACTTTATTTTCTTGGGCTCCAAAATCACTGCAGATGGTGACTGCAACCATGAAATTAAAAGATGCTTACTCCTTGGAAGAAAAGCTATGAATAACCTAGATGGCATATTAAAAAGCAGAGACATTACTTTGATGACAAAGGTCTAGTCAAAGCTGTGGTTTTTCCAGTAGTCATGCATGGATATGAGAGTTGGACCATAAGGAAAGCTGAGTTCCAAAGAATTAATGCTTTTGAACTGTGGTGTTGGAGAAGACTCTTGAGAGTCCCTTGGACTGCAAGGAGATCAAACCAGTCAATCTTAAAGGAAATCAGTCCTGAATATTCATTGGAAAGACTGATGCTAAAACTGAAGCTCCAATAATTTGACCACCTGATGCGAAGAACTGACTCATTAGAAAAGACCCTCAAGGGTGAAACAGATCACCAGCCCAGGTTGGATGCATGAGACAAGTGCTCAGGGCTGGTGCACTGGAAAGACCCAGAGGGATGGGATGGAGAGGGAGGCGGGAGGGGGGATCGGGATGGGGAACACATGTAAATTCATGGCTGATTCATGTCAATGTATGGCAAAAACCACTATAATATTGTAAAGTAATTAGCCTCCAACTAATAAAAATAAATGGAAAAAAAAAGAAAAGACCCTGATGCTGGGAAAGATATAAGGCAGGAGGAGAAGGGGACATTAGAGTATAAGATGGCTGGATGGCATCATCAACTCAATGGACATGAATTTGAGCAAGCTCTGGGAGATGGTGTTGGACAGGGAGGCCTGACATGCTACAGTCCATGGGGTTGCAAAGAGTCAGACACGACTGAGCAACTGAACTGAGGAGCATAAAAAGGCAGGTCTGAAAGGTGTGGTGAATAGTGTGGTGAGTGGGCTCCGCAGCCACACAGACAGACCACAGTAGAATCCAGCTATGCTGCCTCCAGAGAGGGTCACAGGATCCACAGGAGGCTGGGACCTAAAGCAGAGAGGCTGCTACCGCTGGCTAAATGGCCACTCAGCAGGCACACAAGGGGCATTGAGGATCCAGGCTTTATGCCTGCCTGGCATTGGGTGGGGATGCTTGCTAAGATCCCTCCTTTTTACTGCCTAGCTGAAGGAAAAATATTGCAACTGATTACACTGTGTTCACTTCTAAATAAACTACCAAAATGCATATACTTTGCCATAACATGTGCTTACTCAACAAATACTTTGGCCACCTGATTGGAAGAGCCAACTCATTGGAAAAGACCTGATGCTGGGAAAGACTGAGGGCAGGAGGAGAAGGGGGTGACAGAGGACGAGATGGTTGTATGGTATCATTGACTCAATGGACATGAGTTTGAGCAACCTCCAAAAGATAATAAAGGACAGGGAAGCCTGGTGTGCTGCAGTCCATGGGGTCACAAAAAGTCAGACATGACTGAGCAACTGAACAACAACTCAACAAATACTGGTGGAAATGATTAAAACTAATAAATAAGTAATTTTCATCAATCTTTTTTTTTCTTGAGATGCACCTCTGATTTCCCTATCTTGCTGGGGAAAGGCAATTTGGAAGGAAACTGAAAGGCCTCTTTAAACATCAGTTGTAATGTTTGGGCATGAGCAGCTGTTAAAATTTAATTGCAGCCTTTAAAAAAAGTCAAAGGGTAGTCCTTTCTGACACAGGAAGAAAAGAGAAAAAAGCAGTGGGAGTTGAAAAAGAAAAATATGTCTGATATAACATTAAAAGAGCCGACTTATTGAAGAAGACCCTGATGCTAGGAAAAACTGAAAGCAAAAGGAGACAGCAGGGATAGAGGACGAGACGGTTAGATAGCATAACTGACTCAATGAACACAAATTAGAGCCAAATCCAGGAGATGGTGGAGGACAGAGGAGCCTGGTGTGCTGCAGTCCACAGGGTCAGAGTCAGACACAACTTAGCAACTGAACAACAAATAGCATTAATATGACAAAGCAGAATACACAGCTGTATAAGTTACCGCCCCACTCAGTGAGAGGCGAGGTCTACACTGGAAGGGGACATGGAAAGATGGAAACCGTAGGTGTGGACTACTGGGCAAGCTGTAAGCAGTGTTTTCTAGTCATCAAGAAGATAATGAGTCAAAATTTCTGTTCTGCCCCACTCGATCCAGGCGGAGAGTTGGGGCCACAGTACAGGGTAGGGATTGCTTGAGCCCCAACCAGCAGTGATATGGAGAGTGGAGGAGCAGAAGAAAACGCACCAGAGTACCTTTCAGAGGTAGGGCTAGGGGGTGACTTAAATTTCTTCTCGCTGATTCTTTTCTGTCTGTAACAGACTTACTACACAAAGTGTGACAACTTCCAATGCAAAGAGGAAACACTGACATGATTTCATAATGGGCAGGGATGGGAGAGGCAAGCAAATCCACCCTTCCTGACCTCAGTCCTCTCCTCCCCACCAGAAACCTCTCCTCCTGCTTCCTCTGGCTTCAGGACAGACTTCCCTGTTTTATTCTGCACAGACTGCCTCCTGCCAGTTCCCCTGGGAACAACCCTCACCAACCTCGGCTCTTTATAACATGGTCTCACACATATGAATGCCCCTGAATTAGGCAGAGCAGCTGTTGTGCTCACTCTTTTTTTTTTTGTGAGGGCGGAGAGAGTACAAATGCTTTACCATGTTGTGTTTCTCAGCCTTTTATAGTTGAGAAAACTGTAGGCCAGAGAGAAGGATTTACCCAATGTCATGGAACTACCACATTTCATCAGCTCTAAGATAACCTTTTCACATTTTAACATCTCTGAAATGGGGTGGGATCAAAGCTGATCACAGCATAATAGAAAGCATTTTCTCATTCTCGGGGCTGTGTAAAATAGTGTGCATCTTACAACACTGATCTCTCAGATGGGACAGAACACACCACAGGCAGCAGAGCTGAGCCTCATATCATGACTCTGCCAATCACATGCTAGGTGACTAACTGGCCCCCACGCACCTCTTTCTCTCCAAGGGGCCCAAGTTTTGAAAAACAGCAAGCCTTTAACCAAATGAGCTGAATATATTAAACAATCGTTATTTCTCTGTTGTTCACAATTCAAACACATATGACGCTGCCTAGAAGAGCTTCCTTGCAAATATTTCAGTGATAAATAGTAAGTAGACAGAATTACTGCCTAAAGCAAAAAATTAGTTTTAATTAGCTTGCATAGAGGCTGCCTGGGCCACTTTAATTCTCTGCCCCCACATACTGTTTTGGGCCTGAAAAGTATCTAAGAGACTGAAGCTCAGGATCAGCACCTTGGCTCTCTCCTCCTGATTAGCCAAACACACAAACAAACCCACCCACACAAGACATCCCCAGCCACCCACACTGTACTCACTGCAGGCGGAAGATCGCGGTGAGCCAGGGGCAACATCCCTGGGAATGGAGAACAGCGGTTAGCTTCCAATAATCTCTGTTTTTTGGAGGCAGGTATAATCATCAGCTTTGACACTAAACAACCATCTAACCTCCTGTTTTATATAAAAACAAACAACAAACTGCTTCTGTCCCCAGTTCAGCAAGCAACACTCTTGTCCAAATACGACAGAGTCTGCGTGCTCCCAGTCCTTCGTAACATGTATCCTGGGCCTGAAAATCTTGGGAAAACCTCTCAAGTTAAAAAAAAAAAAAAAACTCTCAAGTTTTGACAGTTTGTGGAATTATGCAGTCTCCTGGGTCAAATGGTGAAATGCAAATTGAGAGCTGATGAAAGTTCAGCGCCACTCTGGAGAAGTTGATAAGGGCTTCTGTTCATTTCAAAGTGACTGAATGAAATGCAAGGCAAAGCCAAGGAAACAAGCCTGCTTAACGGGATGGTTCCCTGGAGGGGGATTTAGAGAGGGACAGGGTGTCATGGGTTTTATTGTCCAACACATCTCTTAAACTTAGCTTGCCTTAAAGTTGGACTGTCACCCAGCTGGGAAAGACAAATATTTGCTCGTCATTCATTCGACAGTTACTTAGGACCTACTGGGTGTCAGGAGATGGGGAACAGAGCTGAATAAGACTTGGTTCCTTCCTGCAGCTGACTCATAAACCAGCAGGCAAGTTAATAATTAACTGTCACAACAAAGTCATAAATATGATAACACAGACAAGTACTGTAGCCTTGTGGCTGAGAATCAGTCAGGTCTCCTGATCCTGGGTCACTCAGCCGCCATCTGTGCCTTAGTAATCCTCAAGTTCAGGTGCCTTTGTCAAAGCAGAGAAGCACTGTCACCAGCATTGCCACTCAAGGTCAAGGGTGCGAAGTTAGCAGCTCATCAGGAGTACAACTGCCCTCACTGCCAGTTCAGTCCTGCCTACCCATGCAAAGCCCTGCCTCCCAGCCACAACCACACCAGCCCCTTAAACACCAACCAGCTCGCTTTCAAAGTCCTGCTGCCCTGAAGAGGAAGATGACAGTCTCCGGAATCTGGACTCACTAGAAACACAAAAGGGAAAAATGACAGATCATTATTTTAGAAAGTTTAAAAACTTGTGTCTAGTATCTTGCTCCCTCTTGGAGCTCAGGACCAAAGTTACTAGCCTTCATAAAAATATAGGCAAAGAAACTGACCACTCCAAGGGATCATGAGACATGAAACTCTGCTGTGTGTGATGAATTACAGGGGCCCAGGGTGTCAATGGACCATCCTGTGTTTCGCACCCTTGAACCTCAGCCCCATGACTGATATATGGAAAGTGACTTCAAAGCATTGTCTGTTTACAATATGTCCCAATATAGCAAGTAAAACTTGGAATAAATACTGTCTTATCAAACCTAAGACAGCTCTGGTTGTAAATGGCACAATTATTTTTTGAATGCCTAAGAAGGAAAGGATGCTGTCAGTTAAATTATGACCACCATTGATAATAGGTTGCACCTAATTTCATAGATGAGAAAATGTCCAAAACACATATTTTGGACTTGACAAACTGGGGCATTTTACACTGTTAATTTGGGCATATCCTTTCTTCTGATTAACCCATAAAAGCTTCCCATGCACTGAGGATTTGAGGTGTTTGCAACATGCTAAGTTTTGTTTCTCTCTGTTTTCCTGCTCCTGGCTTCACTATCCCACTTCTAATAGCACAAGGCCTGGTGAAACTCAACTGTCAAAGCCTTTCCAGAGAACTGCTTTGTATGACCTTCCCAGTAACCCTCCATGCAAGAAAGGGCCAGAGGAAACAATCCAGTGAGCTCAAGTTCAGGGTCGCGACCAAGATGACACAGCCATGGAAGTGGGGGTGTCTCCTGATTTCCCAGTGCTCTATTCTGCTGTAGTACTCAGTAGTACTGGTGGCTCAGGTGGTAAAGAATCTGCCTGCAGTGCAGGAGACCCAGGTTTGATCCCTGGGTCAGGAAGATCCCCTGGAGAAGGGAATGGCAACCCACTCCAGTATTCTTACCTGGAGAATCCCATGGACAGAGGAGCCCGGTGGGCTATATAGTCCACGGGATTGCAAAGAGTCGGACACAACTGAGCAAGTAAGCACACACGCATGCAGGCACTCAGTCCTCCTGAGGGTGAATGTGCCAAAAATGTACCAGGTGTCTCAAAAGTTCCCCTAAATGGTCCAAGGCTCATATACAGCTGAAGCAAGAGGCCCCATAGCCTGACCCTCGGGCTTCTGCAAAACTAGAGTGGAGACTGTGGGGAAAGAAGATGCATCGATAGACAGCCCCATCAACCCTCCTGCACAGACCACATTTCAACAGAGCCGCCACCTGTGGAGCAAGAGCGGGGGCCTGCCTGGGGAGGCTGAGAGCAGGGAGCCGGGGTCCATCCTTGTTTCCCCACTCACTTCCTATTTCGGCAGCTGACACAAAATCCTGGGGTGAGGGGGAGCAGCTGGAGCTGGAAATTCCAGTTGTGCAGACCTAAAACTCTTTCTGACATGCGCAGACAGCCAGCAGAGCCCAGGGTGGAGGTGTAAGCACCTGAGTCCTGGCCAAGGCAGTCTGTGCTCTGACACAGGCCCTCTGAAGCTGGTGGATTCGGGCCACGAGCGCACTCTGCCCCGGGGATGGGAGCACTTCACCTGCAGCCCTGCTGCCCTTCCCAACCCACCTCTCCTCGTCCCCAGCCCCGAACTAATCAATCTCAAAGAAGATACACTTGGAAATGTTCAAGGCAAGGAAGAAAGCAGGCATCCTTCTTTGATGATGAAAGCCTTAAGGATCTGAAGCAACTAGATTCCTTCCGTAGTCTGACGCAGAAGGTTCATGGCCATGGCCAGCCCCAAGCCCCAAGGGAGAGCTGGGAATGCAGGCCTTGGTTTTCTCACCACCACAAAGAAGGTACCGAGGCTAACCTCACGGCTCTGTGGTAAAGAGCAGAGACAACAATTTCTGGTACAGGCCTGGCAGACATACTAATGAGCACAATCTAACACTGGCATCATGTGTGGGCTACGCTTGGTGGGCTTCACAAGCCCTTCCCAGCCTCTCGTGCTTTCTCTCCCCATCCCCCCACCTACACACACACACACACACACACTTGAAATAATGAGTCTTTTTACCTGTTTCCTTCTGACACCAGGGCAATGCGGCCATAATCCCAGAATTTTCTTCTTATGATGGTAAATACTGCTATTAAAAACTAAAAGTAGAAAAGAAATCAAGTAAAATCTGATCGGATGGCTTTTAGTTAGAAGAGACAGCTGCCATCTTCAGGGCACAGGCCACCCCCTAGACTCAGGAGGGCAAGAGGACCAGAGAGGGCACTGAACTGCCTGAGGCCACACAGCTCAAGAGCTCAACATTGCGTTCACCCCCTTCACCAGCTCCCATCCCCATCAATGCTGACACTGAGCTTGCCCTGGCAGCCTCCCAGTCAAGCTCCCAGGGCCTATCCTTTGCTCTCAAGGCAGCCCTGGCAGCCACAACCTTCCTCAGCCCTGGTCTGCCTACAGGGACCCCTGAGCAGGAAGGCCCTCATAGCATCCCTGGGGACCAGCTCCCGCCTCCACATCAGGTTGCATTTTTAATCACAAAACAATGATAGCAGAGCCTCCCCACCCAAAGACTGAGCTAAAAGTGGTCAGATCTTTACTTTGAGTTTGGTTCTCCAGGAGGCAAGCCCTGGGGATGCCTGGTACAGAGCATGTGTGGGGGCAATGCCCACCAAAGGCCTAGTGCTGGCTGGCTTGGCCTCCACAAGCTGGGGCCATCTGCAGCCCCACATGCCCAATGGCAATGGAAGGGGTTGGACTCAAGTCTAACCCTGTTTACACTCTAAAAACCCATGGATTCTAGACTCTCTCTTCCCTTCCTTTGCAGGTCCTCTGCCCTACTCCTGCCTTTCTCCCCACCCTGGACAGGCTCCCTCTCTTCAAAATCCAGGGAGGTAGAAAGACACATTTTAATCAGCATACCCCTGAGTGCCCTGGTCAGGGACTGCAGTTTTTAAATGTGGGTTTTGGACCCCAGAATGGCTAAGTTCCAGAAGAATTTTCTCAAGGTGAAGGTGGAAGTTGGTGGCATAGTTTCAAGGGCAGGTGAGTCTCGTCATCAGAAAAATACGAAAGCTACTCAATGAGCGCCAGCCCTCTGCCCTGGCTGCTGCCTTGGCTCAAGGGCTGGGGATGTTTCCCATGCCTCGATGTCTTTCAGGCTCCTCTGGCTCCAATCCCCAAATCTTCCTGCAATAAAAATCTACCACAACAGCACACTCCACCAGAGAGTGACTCTCTTCTCATCAAACCCTGTTCAAGACAGACCCACCCAGCCTGTGTCTCCTGACTTCTCTCGCTGGCCCAGACTCTCCCCTCCCTGAAGACGCTGGATAACAGCTCCAGAACCACCCTCCTCCATTAACCTCACCAACTCTGAAATCCATCACCACACTCCCGCCTACACCCACCGTCCAACCAAGCCTAGTAGAGAGGACTGTTCTCAACCTATCAATGGGTTTTGGCTCCAAGAGGTAGGTTACTTGACACTTAAAGAGCCCTTTATGGTAAAAGCAACCTGAGTAGCACACAGGTTTCTATATCTGCCAACAGAAGATCAACAACATATGAAAACTCTAATGCAACAATTTAGACCTTAATTCTAGGGAGGAAAATGGAAACAGGAGTGAAAACTCCCTTCCTCTCTTCCTATGAACATTTTTCCTGCAAATAAACTTGGGTTGCATAGCCACCTCCTTTAGGGCATGGGGCCCTCAAGTGACTTAGCATGCACCTTAGGCTACCCTAACTCCCCTCTCCCAGGTTCCCACCGAAGCCTAGCCTCTGGTCCAAAGCAGTCCAAGGGGTCCACTCCCTCCGCCTCTTCTTACCCCGGTTACCCAGATGGTCTCCACTACATGTGAAGAGAAGGTGACAAGAGGGACCAACCATCCCATGGACAATTTTGAAAAGAAGGTGCCCTAGCACCCCAGTAAATCACACCTAGCAAGTTTGAGCCAGTCTAGGGGGGAAGATGGCATATTTCAAATTGGGTGATGGTGGTGGGGGTCTTTGGAAACAAGGAGGTCTGAATTAACAAAAGTCCACTGTGAGGAGCGCTGCTAATAAGGTGTACTCTCCTCCCAGTTCTCGCCTTTTCTCCACATCTGATCCTCTAAAGGCCCAGGGATCCCAGTGGGGAACAGGGGTGGCATCTATAAATTGGGAATTGCAGCTGCTCTAATTCTCACCCACATTCTCCAGTCACATCTCTCATCCCAGCAGAGTGACCCTTCTTAAGGGCCTTAGACACATGATGGGCTGACAACTTGTTAACAATGGCAATAAACTAAAGAGCAGTAATGTACATTCCTTACATGCTTCGCCTTATTTAACCTTCTCCAAGAATCACCAAGATAAGAATTATTACCTCCCTTTCACAGAGCAAAAACCTGAGGCCCCAATAAGCTATGTAAAATGCCCAAGGTTACAGAGCCAGGAAGCAGCAGAACTGGGACTTAAACCCAGGGAAGTCTGGCTCCTCACCTGAGTTTCCCAGAAAGCCCTGTGGCGGGGGAGGGGGTTGGTGTTAAACAAATAACTGACGTGATCCCCGGGGGTCTCACCAGGAAGCAGCTGACGTCTATGAACAGGACAGTGGGGATGCCCCCGAAGGTGACGCCCTGGAGCACGGTGCTGTTTTTGGCCGAGTTGTAGCAGTAGGAATCATTGGGCTGGTCCCCGATGCCCAGCCGCTCGTGGGAGGCCACTGCTCTGTACTGCCACAGCTCCAGGAGAGGGGAGTCGGTCATCACGCTGGTCCTCCCTGGAGAAGGAGACCCGACAGAGGATCAGGGCACCAACTCCCCCGTGGTTTCTGCAGCCAGCGCTGGCAGAGCCAAGGGCGGGTGTCTCCACCAGGGGCTGCTGGCGCACAGGGATGCGGGAGAGGCGGACACCAGCCCTGAGTGCCCGGCAGAGTCTACAGAGAATAGCTCCATTGTGCATGCAGCCCAAGGGTCAGATGGACGGGGCGGATGGCTCATCCAGGACACAGCTGGCCGCCTCCCCAAGGGCGGGGATGAACAGGAGGAAAGGGAAGGACAGGAGTCTGCCTAAGGGGTGCCAAGTTCCTCCAGCCTCAGGGATGACTGTCAGGAAGTCATTCCTGCGGGGTGGGGAGTGGGGGTGTCCCTGGGAGGCCTGGAGTGCAGGCAGGGGACAGGATGGGGCAGAGGAATCAACAGAGGAGGAAGAGTGTCCAAATGCAACAACTGCTGATCATCTGAGCCATGGACAAGAGCTCATGAGATGTCAGGCTGGAACCTCAGAGATATGCCCACTCCATACACTTGGAAACTGAGGCTCAGGGCCTTAAGAGTTCCATTAAGATTAAAGAGCTGGTCAGGGCAGAATCGAGTCTCAGACCCAGCCTCCTGGGTCTCAGATGCCAGTTCCCTTTCTGCTATGCCACATTCCCTCTGCAGCTGACTACCCACACCTGTTTGGTGAGAGATTAAAAAGCAGAGAAGGAGACTTCCCTGGTGGCCCAGTAGATATGAATCCACCTTACAATGCAGGGGATGTGAGCTCCATCCCTGGGCAGGAAACTAAGATCCCATATGCCCTGGAGCACCTAAACCCGTGAGCCACACCCAGAGAATCCGTGTACCATGACGAAGATCCCACATGATGCAACTAAGACCCAATGCAGCCAAATACATACTTTCTAAAAAGAGAGAAAGATTGAAAAAAAAAAAAAAGCCAGGGGAAGTGCAGCAGAGAGGAAGAGACAGAGAAGGCAAAGGGGGAGGAGGTAGACTACGGGCAGAGGACAGGGCCCCAAGCCTCCTCATGGACCCCTGAGTCATCCACTGTGCATCACTGGAGCACTCCCCGGGCTCTGCCCTCTCATTCTTATACTCCTGGCCTTTCTGGAAGGTCCAGCATTTCCAAAGCAAATATTGCTCCAGGCTGGTTGTTGACTTTTCCTTTCAGAGACGCCTGGTAACCGCAGGTGAAACTAATGGAAATCTCCAAACTCCTAAGGCCCCAGCATTAGTGCCCAGGTTCTGGCCTGCCTTCACACTGTCTGCAGCTGAAGAGTCTGGAAAAATGCCCAGCATCCCTTCCTCTCAAGGTCCCATCTTCTTAAATCTAGTTAGACCAGATTCCCAGGGGACCTCAGCTAAGTCTGGTCTTCCTACCTGTTAGAGGGGCACAAATCTGGGAGAGAAGAAACGGTATAGAGAACAGACAGATATTTGGACTATGCAGTAATACAGTCTGGGTGTGTGTTGGGGAGCCAGTGATTTCCAATTCTGGCTGCTGGGACGGCTCTTTTGGGACAATCTCAGGCACACATGGCAGGAAGTACAGGAGGGGTGGGGGAGGCAGTAGGTCTGGGGGGTGGGCATGGGAGGACTCCCCAAGAGGCCAAGTCATTCTGTCATCCCTATTAGAGATTTGGTAGTGGCTGGAGGGTGTGATGGCAGAGCCATGGAGTTGCTGGCCCTGCGCAGAGTCACAAAAGCTGCCTCTGGCAAACAGATGGGCTGTTTCCCTCCTTTAATTCTCAGTGGCAGCGCCCCAATGCAACACCCAGTCTGAGGCTGGCTGGCAGAGGCCTGCCCCTCCTCCCTGTCCCCACACTTACCAGATGCTGGGGAAGGAAGTGTGGATGTGTCCCCTGGAGAGGGCCTCAGTTGGCGCTGGCAAAGGCAGCGATGGCCCTGGCCACCTCCCAAGCTGCCTCAGGTCCGCTGCTCATTTCCTGCTGGGCTTTCCTGACGGGGGTCATGGGACACCAACCTTTGAAGACTTCCCTGAAGGAACACAGGAGATAACCAGAGTCACGTGGGAGCTGTCCTTTTCCCAGGCCGGGGTTCTGGCGTGAAACCCTTCAGCACACGATCCCTGCACTCACACTTGCCCGGTGTCTTGGAACTCAAACGCTCGTCCAGAGCCTCTGGTTCTTCCCAACAGGCTCCCTCCTGTCCTGGCTCTCTTTCCAGGCACCTAATGCTATTCCTCTGTGCGCCCTGTTCCTCTCCTCTCTCCTCCCCAGCATCACCTAAAGCTCCAGTCTCTCCCCTCTTATCCTCAAGGCCCTGGTGAGCCCAGGGCAGTGGGACTCCCCCCACAGAAGCACTGGCAGCTGTAGGCTCTGGGAAAACAGAGTCCAGGACCTCACACAGGTCCCAAGGGTAGCTGGGAAGGCTTCTCCAGGTCCCCCAAAGACTAGAATCAGGAAGAAAAAAAAGCAACAGAACTAACAAGGAAGGCCTGAACAGTGAAGTGGGGGGGGGGGGGGCGGGGAATCCCCATAAAATGGTCACAGAGGGAGCACTGTCAAGAGCAAGGGGTGCTGCTGAGGTGGTGGGGAGGGAGGTGTGGGCCTCACCAATTCTTTGTGTGGAGCTTTGAGAGAGCAGAGGCCTAATGGGAGGCAGGGACCTAGGCTCCTCCCCATCTTTCCCGCCCCAGTCACGCCTCTGGGTCAAACAGGCTCCCCTGGGTGGTTTAACAAGGTTTGATAAGAAGGATTCAGTGAGGTCAGCCAGCCAGCCTGGGATGAAACCTTAGGACTCTTCAGAGGTGGCCTGTTCCGTCTGCGCCCTCCAGGTGCGGGCATGGCTTTGGGGGCCCGCAGTGCCTCTCAGACCTTTCTGCTTAGTTGAGGTCTGTCTCTGCCTGTTACAAGTCTGCAAGACTGTGGAACCACCACAGTCCCTCTAGGGCCAGCCACCTGCATCCTCCCCAACGGGCGTGCTGAGAGAGCAGCTGGCAACATATGGACCACAGGGAAGCCGCCCCCCCCCCCCGCCCGCCCCCGCCCCCAGACTCAGAAGAAGCAGGAGGGGGAGAGAAGGAGACTCAGCTGGTGGCGACTGGGAGAGAGATGACTCAGTGGCTGAAAGACTGATGGCGATGGGCAGGGGCCAAACCAGCAATTAGGCCCTGTGGCCATGGGTGCCCTGCCTGGTCATGTTCAGTCACCCCATATCTGTCAGACACACATTGTGAATGCCGGGTCTTATCCATCCCTTCTCTAGGGAGCTCTCTGCTCATCATCTCATTCAGGAAAGCCAAGATATACTGCTGAGGCCCTGGGGTCAGGTGAGCAGCAGGTGATTGAGGACCCAACTCAAAGTTCAACCCACATACACCCCAGAGACTTGTTGTGGCCAGGGGACAGAGGGCTCAATGCAATGGCCATTCCCCAAACTGCCAAAGAAGTCAGCCACCCATGCTAACTGACCCCCCTGCCCACCCAAGCTGGCAGCTGCTGGCCCCTGTAGCACACCAGAAGATCTCTGTGCCTCCCTGCCACAAACAGGAGTAGAATGTGTGAGCATCATCAGCTCTTGCAAATTCAGGGTATTTTTATCATCACCAAAGCTTCTGACTTTGTTACTACAATGGCAGGACGACAAATAGTTCCAGGCCCTCTGCCATAAGAGAAGACTCTGATGTTCTAGATGGCAGGTTGCAAACTTCTCCTTAAAGCCCCACCAAACAGGGTCCAGGAACCTGGACAACCATTCACCTCCACAGACACCAGCAGGGGAACACTAGGGAAGTGGCAGAGAACCCCGCTGCAGTGGAGGCAGGGCACCCGGCAGTCCCCTGAGCAGGCTCTGGAATGAGGCTCCCAGCATCACGTGGCTTCACCACTCTGTGCCTTGGCTTCCTTCTCTGTAAAATGGAGACAATGATGTTCTTCCTGCAGGGTGAGTGGGAAGCAATGCCCATAAAGCATTGAGCCCTCATGGGCACTCCAAAACTGCTTTTAAGTCACCTCTGCAGACAATGGGAAACACGATAGCAAAACCCCATCTGACATTTTTCCTGTTAGAGCACAATGAACACCCAAGGGAGATCTTTGCCCATAAACTAAACAAACAAGAGGTGAAGTGAAGTGAAAGTTGCTCAGTCGAGTCTGACTCTTTGTGACCCCACGGGCTATATAGCCTGCCAAGCTCCTCTGTCCATGGGAGTCTCCAGGCCAGAATACTGGAGTGAGTAGCCATTCCCTTCTCCAGGGGATCTTCCCAACACAGGGATCGAACCCAGGTCTCCCGCATTACAGGTGGATGCTTTACCATCTGAGTTACCAGAGAAGCCCAGACAAGAGGTGTGTGAAGGCAGAAAGAAGCCTCTCCTTCTGTACAGTCCACCTCAAGACAGCAGCAGACTCAGGACTCTCTGACAGGTATCAGAGGAAGGAAGTAGAAAGACAAGCATGGAGGAGGAGAGGGGAAATACGGGCTGTTTCTCCAATAAGAGATGACCTGAAGTCTTTCCTCATCCCCAACAACAGTCCACAACTCTGCTTGAGCCAGGGCCCAAGAAGGTCCTCAGGATGCCCCCACCCACAGCCCCTTTGTACACACTAGGCCTGGACTGGTGAGCACAATCCACTGGCTTAACCTCAAACCTTCCACACTCCAGGGGTTGGATACAGCCACACAACTTCAGCACAGAAGGAAGCAAAGGGGGAAAGGGTGTCATTCTGCATACCCCTGTTTTTCAGAACACCTACTGAGCTGAAAGAGGCCACCCCAGAGGCTCAGGTAGCCAGGCTTATCAGGTACTGGAACCTCTACGTTTTGGGTTTCTTAGCAGAGCTCTCCTCTTCCCCCTATCCTCCAAAACCCCTAGCTTCCCTCCTCAGGACTCCACAGAGGATGGTTTCTACCTTCCCTGGGGCAGGGGACTCAGGGGACCCAGACCCGCCTCGCATATCTCGCTTAGAGAAGAAAGCGCCCCCGGGCTAGGCTGGGAGGTCGATTCCAGCTGACCAATCTCCAGAGAGAGGGTGGGAAGAGAAAGGGATCAGCCATAAAAGCGAAAAGTTGGAGCCCTGGATTGGGAAGTCGCGTAAAGCCATCAGGCACGGCGCTGGAAGCGGGGTGCGAGGTCTGAGCGGCCAGGGGACAGACCCTGTCCTCCCAGCCACTCGGTCACCCCTGCTGCGGAGGCAGGGGGGCCGCAGACCGGAACCAGACACCAGACGTGGCACCCTGGCGTAGACCCCGGGTCCTGCCCGTCTCGGGAAAGAAGAAGGCGACATCCCCCCTCTCAACAACCCCTTCCCCTTTACCTGCGGCGGCGGCGCAGCGACCCGGGCAGACCAGAAGTTGTGTGGCTCCACCTGGTCGGGCGGGGCTGCGTCCTGACCACTTAAAAGTTACAAAGTGAAACTCCCGCTCTCCTGCACATGCGCAGAGCCGCGTCCTCTGCTTGCCCAATTTGCAGTTACGCCCGAGTGGGCGTCAGCTCAGCCGCAGCCTCCCGCCCCCGGCGCCGTGTGCCCCTCGGCGCTCCTCCATCCCGGCCCGGCCGCGGGGCCCCTGCTCAGAGCGCGCAGCTCCTCCCTGCCGTCTGCACGCCCCGGCCCGGCCGGCTCCCGTCCTGGGACCGAGGAGAGTGCCGCCAGGGCTGATTCCTCTCCCCGGCCCCTCGGCGCGTCCCCCTTCCCCCGACGCGTCCCCCTTCCCCCGACAGACACCTTGGGCAGCCCCGGGCCTAGTACCGGGTGGTCGCATCCGTGGGAGGCGGGGGCAGCGCATTGGCGAAAGTTCTTGATTTTTCTGTAGTGCACTGAATTTCCTAGACCAGCTCTTAGGCCCGCCTGTATCGGGGCGCGGTAGGGGGGTTAGGGAAATCGGGTGGGCTCAGCCCGCACCTCAGCTCCACGTAGTCCGTCTTCACCTGGTTCCCAGTGCGGGAGACTGCTGCTTCGCTATCGCTCTGAATAGCCTGACAGTGAAAGCCCTGAGGCCGGGGGGCCGCGGGGTTCCTACATTTAGCCCCAAATAGAAGTCGCAGTGTTTTCGGTGTTTTGGTGCCCTGGAGCCAAAGCCGGAACTGCTGATACCGGGCCGCCAGGGTCACCGATCTAGCCCAGCTCGCTGAGCTCTGGGTCCCAGGGAGTTCCCTATGAGCAGCAGCCCCCGCAGCTGGACTGTAAGCTCCCCGAGGGCGCCGGGGTGTGCTCTGGGCAACACACAGGTCGGCGTTCAATGAGGACCTCGCCCCCAATGAAACCGAAGAGCACAGCCCGCCGGCTGCAGCAAACTGCCCTCCGCAGGCCTCCTTTTCCTCGGGGGGTTGGACCAAAGCTTTCTCTCAGGTCCCTTCCAGCACTAAAAATCTGTGAATCCTGAACTGTTCCGCACTCTGTACATGCACAGCTTTGCAGGGCCCTGACCTCTCTTCCATTTCTGGGCTTTCATCTTTTGTTGTCATGGTAAATGTGTTCACCTTACCTCTCTCCCCAGCCAGCCTGAGGATCTCTGGAGAGAGCCGGGCGGGGGTGTCTCCTGCTTTTCTAGCAGTGCTTTTCTGACCCATTTGCTGGCTTCCTTCTTCTCCCCAGCCCCCAATCACTAGTTATTTCCAGAGTTTGCCCTTGACCTCTGCCCTCAGCGCAGCCCTTGTCCTACCCCTGTAAGCCCTGGCCATCTCTCCTCCTGCAGTCCTCTCCAGCGGCCAAGGAACCCACAACTGACCTCCAGCAGGTGCCTGCGTGTGGCCACTGGGCTTCCCCTGGCGCCTCAGACGGGCTCTGCCCACTCTCTTCCCCCCATATCCTCCACCTTCTGTCCTTATCCTTCCCCTGCCTCAATGAATGGAGCCACCTGTGGTCTGGGTTGTGCACAGGTTCTAACCTGTGCAGGGAAGTGCAAGGTTCTAACCCCAGTGATTACATTGGTGGAAACACTGATGAAAGGAAAAGTTAGGATCCTTGATTTCAGAGAGGGAAGGGATTTCTAAATTGACTTTCAGTAGGTTGTTTCAAAATCAAGAGAACGTTAGACAGATCAGCATGTGAGGTAAGATAACCATAGCCCCACTATGTGTCAGGCAGCATGTGGAGTGCTTGTAAAAACACTATTTCCTTTAAATTTCCAGTAGAAGTACAGAGAAGTTAAGGATTGTTCCTGATAGAGAAGTAAATGGAAATTTAGAGGATGTAGAATTTACAGTTAATTTGAGCTGTAAAGATAAGCAAGGAATCCAAAACAACCATGCCCCAGGCCTGAACCCTATATCAAACTCAGTTTAAAGCCAGTGTAATCTTGGCATTCTAAAATCTTACATCAGCATTTTATCATTTGCTCCCTTTATCTGCCCTCAAATCTAAAGGAGTGATTCACATTCTTGTAGATGATGATTTTGATCACAAATTTTTAAAATTTTGTATCAATTAGAATTGAAATAAAGCCCCACTCCCTGTGCCCAGAAAAGTAAAAATATCAACAGCAATGACAAAAAGTGTTCTGCCTCAATCTTAAGAAGACAGGCACATTAGAATCAATGCATTCCAATCCTAGCATCCTGTATCACTTAACTGAGACCTTGAACAAGTCTTTTAAAGTCTTTTCCTTCATTTTCTAATCTGGTTGACCTAATTCCTATAGAACTTTCTGTTCTCTCACAATTTGCAGGGTTCTGGGAAAGACAGAATAAAATGTATTTTGTTTGTTTCTTGCAGAATGCGCTTATTATTTGAGTTAGGAATGCACAGCCTCTACTTAAGCCCAGAGCAGCAACTGTATCTCCCAGCCATACCACAGAGCTCAGCCCAGGTCCAATAAGAGGACAAGGAAACAATGGCAAATTGGGATTTCTCTTCTTGGGTTACAATATCTACACAGGTAAGTGCTTAGGATACAGTGCAGTGAAAAATGTTGAAGAGAGAAGACTGGGCAGGGGCTCCCAGTGTCCAGGGAGTCTTGTTCCTGAGAAACAAAAATCAGAAGGCGAGCTAACTGGTCAGAACTCAGCACGAAGCGCAGAGCATGTGCCATCATCAGTTCAGTCATCCCCATCTCTTCTGGTGTCCGGAACACTTTCAACACACACACAAGCCAAGTCCTTGATAACTATACCCCACACCTATGACTCCAACTTCCTTGGCACAAGCACCCCGTCCCAGGCACAGCTGCACGTCTGCACCCTCATGTTGGGCAGGCTGACCACCTGGGGCTGGAGTCGGCCTCCCTCCTGGATGCTGACAATCATGGGCAGCGAGGTCGTCTCCGAGGCGATGCACTGTCGAGGCCCCAGAAACGGCCACTTGAAGCTCAGGGACTCTGGGGGCTGCTGGCAGGTGCCCACACACTCATAGGTCAGGAAGCCTGGGGGCTCCAGGACCCAGTTCTCAGCCCACTTCATCCCCTGCAGGTCAATGTACATCTCCTGGCGGCAGCAGCGGGTGTCCTCCATCACCAGTGCCTTAGGATCACAGTTTCCCTGAGCTCTGCAGGGGGCAAAGAGAGGCAGAGTCAGAGGTCAGCTGGGAGGGCAGGGGTCATGGGGCCCAGGGTGGGACCTAGTGGGTCACCTGGAAAGATTTATGATCCATCTCATTATGTTCAAAATGTTGGATATTTGTGATAAGGATAAATAACTAGAAATAACCCCCCAAATGATCATTAGAGCTGACATTACTCCCAAGAGTGGAAGGAGATATTTTATATATTCATTCATTCCCACAGCACCCTGTAAAATTGCCCATTTCAAAACAGGTTCACCCGCAGTGACCCACAGCACCTACCCGTAGTCTCTGAGGTCCAGGGTGTGCAGCTCCAGCTGGGGCTCCCCCTGCCGGCCGCCCGACGGCCCCTGGGGGGCGAAGCGGACCAGTCTGTGGGCGCTGGAGGCCAGCGGGCCTAGGTGCTCCCGCTGCACCGACACCTGCAGGAGCAGCGGCGGCCGGGGGCTGCGCAGCTGCTGCCAGAAGTTCACCGCCTCGGTCACGTCCAGGGCCTTCCAGCCGCTCTCGTGGATGGACACCAGTCTGCGACACCGCCCGGAGGGAGACACAGGCCCGCGCTCAGGGTTGGGGACTGGGACTGCCCGGGGTGGCCCCGGGGGCCACCTCTCCCTCCCGCTCCCGGGTGTCCCCGCCGGGACCGAGCCGCCCCTTCTCCGGCCCCGGGCCCAGCCCCTCTTCCCTTCCCCGAGCCCCACGCCACCGCAGCCGCGACCTCCGCACCTGGAGTCGATGAGGGCGGTGCGGTTGGAGCCGTCGTCGCGGACGTGCAGCCACTGGACGGTGACCCGGGCGCGGTCGCTGCGCGGGGAGAGGCGCTCGTGTCTGCGGAGCGCGGCCCTGGGCACCGGCTCCTGGAAGAGGCGCAGCACGGCCTGCACCAGCTCGCTGCGGGGCGGCAGCCGCTGCTCCATGTCGAACACCAGCAAATGTGAGGACGCCTCGGACGCCAGGAACCTGCCGACCACCTCTGGGGACAGGAGCGGGATCAGGGGAGCCCCTCCGGGCACCAGGCGAGCTCTGAGGGTGCAGGGCTCAGGGCTAAGCGAACAGGGTTTCCCCAGGAATCCCCAGGGAGAGTTTGGGGGCTGGGAAAGTGGTGGGCCAGGCCAGAAACAGAGCACCTCCACTCCTAGAGAAACTGTTAGGGTCAAGCAGGCTCTCCAAAATCATCATCTGGGGTTGGGGCTTGTTTACTAGTGGTGACCCCCCTCATCCGGGAGGGGCAGCTTTGGGATACTGAGCAAAGGCTGGGGCTCTGAGTGAAGACCGCAGACCTGCAGGCTTCTTTCGGCAAAAGGGGCAGGAGAGGGGATGGAGGACGGGAGGCAGAGGACCAGCCAGTGAAAATCTATGATCACCAGCTGAAACCAGCTTTTCCTAAGAGACAGAGAAAGAGGTTTCAATTTACTTTCATTTCCCTGCCTGGTGAGGGGACTCTTGCCTGGTGAAAAGGAGGAAGACGAACAGAGGCAATTTTTGTGGAATTACTGAGCCCTGAGGGAAATGGTGAGGTCAGGCACAACACCCTCTTCAGAGGCCCCAGCAATCCGTCCCCAGCACCTGAGGCTCCAGGTTGGCAGTGTGATCACCTGATCGGCCAGCCCCATGGCCGCCAGCAGTCACCCCTGCTGAGGTGTCCATCACCGGCCTCCTCGTCTCCCCAGGCACCTGGCCTGGTCTATCTGTGGGTGTCGAGGAGGTGAGCCCCAGCCCTAGGGAGGTGAGAGGCTGCCATAGGACTCAGACCTGGTAAGAATACCCACAACTCTGGGAAGTAGTCACAGCTAATTTAATCTCACTTCAAGAAACACAAATAGGCTTGAATTGTTGCGTGACTTGTCCAAAAACAAATACCAGAGCTGAGAACTGAACGCAGAGGTCCTTTCTCTCTGAGGCAACGCTCTGCGGAGGCCAGCCTCTTTGTCCCCCAGCACAAGGCACCTGGACATCTGCCTTCCCACTCTTCTTTCCTCTTTGCTTCCCTGCCCCATAATTCCCTGTTCTTGCCTTGTCTTTGGCAGCCGGTCCAGCCCGGCCCAGCTCCTCCTGGCCCTGAGAGGCGGGGTCCTCAATGCAGACAGAGACCAGGGGCCCAGGCCCGCCATCCTCACAGGCCATGGTCCCCCCTCACAGCCCCGTGGACCCTTCACCCCAGACAGCCCCCCAACCCCCGCCCATCCCCACCCCCACCACCACGTGGACCAGGCTGCGGCAGGAGGGCGGGCCTCACCTCGGAAGTTCCGGCTGAACCTCTTCCCCCGGGAGCGCGCCCCGTGGCCGCGCTGCAGCAGGGCCACGTACTGGGCCCTCACGTGGGCCGGGATGACCAGCCCCTCCACGGCGGCCTTGTCCACGATGGGGACCTCGCTGAGGTGCAGCTGCTGCAGCAGGCTGTCCAGGATCCGCTCCTCGGTCAGGGCCGCCCCGGGGCCGGCCAGGGGCAGCGCCCAGAGGGCCCAGCAGAGCCACAGGGGCCGCATGGCGCTGCTCGGGAGAAGGAGGGGCAGAGTGGACGTGTCCCCGGAGGAGGCTCCAGGAGGGTCCCAGCAGCGGGGTGTGCTGAGAGCCAGCCTGGGCCAGCTTTATAGCAGCCTTGGGCTGGGCCAGGGTGGTGGGAGGGGGGAGAGGCCGGGAGGAAGGGAGGTCACACCCCTCAGACCTCCTGGGAGCTCAGCATCCAGACAGGTCCCTGAGCCCGAGGAGGGGGCTGTCTAGACTATGGACAGATGGTATTATTGTGGTCAGGTGCCTCTACCTTGGCTAGGGTTGCCAGACCAGTTAAATTAAAAAGCTTGTTCCCTGAAGAAGAGTCAAGGATCTCTATCTGCTCACTTCCCTGTCCCTCAGTCACAGAGCAAACTCCGGTCCCTGGTGTGGATTTAGAGTTCTGATTCTTGCAACAGCTACTGTGTGTGCACACCCAACACCAGGGCTCTCTGGCTAAGGACGGATTCTGCCTACAAAGATGAGCATCTGAGCCTGGGGCTCAAAGGACTCCTGGGGGCTGCTGAGCTCCTGGGATGTCCACAGTTGGAAAACCCAATGTTTTTCCCAGTGCTTGGTGGGGAAGGTGCGACCTTCCTAGACAAGAAAGCCTGGGGTAGTTTAGCACGAGTGGGATTTTGTCCAATAAGGAACCTCTTCCTCTCCTTCTCCCTGGCTGTTCATGGATGCAGAGATTGGAGTTGAAAAAACCATCCAGCCCATTCTCTCCACCAATTTTTGAGCTATGAAAACCAAGGTTCAGAGAGGCAACAATACCCCTGACTCACAACAGTTAATGGTGGATGCCTGCATGAAGTCAAGTCTGATTCCTAGCCCACTGCTCTTTCCACAACCTCCAGCTGTTTCCAGCGAGAGTCCTTGTTCAATCCCCTGAGGCAGCCAAGTGGACTCAACCCAGGTGACCAGGGGCTCGGTGTGGGTAGGGGGCATGTCCTTCAATTTCCTGAGCTTCACCAAGTGAATGTGGATTTGCATGGTAGAGGAGTTTTAGTGGGAAAGTAAAACAATTGGGCAATCAGCCAGGGGTAGGGCTGCCAGATAAAATACAGAACACAATTTGGGACATACTTTAGCACATCATTTGTTGTTTATCTGAAATTCAAATTTCACCTTTCACCAGGAGTCCTATATTTTTAATTGCTAAATCTGGCAACCCTAGCCAGAGGCCAAAGAGAAAAACCCAGTGTGGATTGGGAGACTTCTGACAATGGGCTAATTAGCTGTCAGGCGGGGAAGGCAGCCCCCACCCTTTGTCATGCAGAAGAAGGAGCCCGGCTTTCCCCACTTCCACCCTCACCTGTGTCTGGCCCCACACCCTGCCAGGTCAGGTTGGCTGGAGATGCTTTAGTGGCCCCTGAGCTAGATCTTCTGTCTGGAGGGAGGAAAGGGGTCAAGAAATAGAGGGTTTGGGTTTTCCTGGTGGCTCAGACGGTGGTAAAGAATCTGCCTGCAATGGGGGAGACCCAGGTCCAATCCCTGGGTCAAGAAGGGTCAGGAAGATTCCCTGGAGAAGGGCATACTCCAGTATTCTTGCATGGAGAATTCCATGCACAGGGGAACCTGATGGGCTACAGTCCATGGAGTCGCAAGAGTTGGTTACAACTGAGCAACTAACACTTTTACTTTCACCCCATGAAGGACCAATTTGGACCTTGCCCAGAGCTAAGGGTAGCACGGAGGGCAATGGGCCAGCCGTCTCGAGGTGTGGGCCGCAGACCTGGCCCCAGAGAGTCCTGGAAAGATGGGTGACAGGGACTGAGGTAGGAGGGCAGGTAAGAAGCAGGGCCAGGTGCCCACGACCACCCTCGTATTTCTTACAGGCTGGTTTTGATCCCAGCCAGAGTCCAGACTGCCAGTTGAAGGCTGTGAGAAAATGTGAGGTCAGAGATCATCCTGCAGACTCTGTGGATGGGGACAAAAAAACTGGACCAAAGCCTAGGCTTGGAACCAAATGGAGCTGCGAGGTCAGTGAAGACTGGAGTCCAACAGTGGGTTCACTTCTGGATTAGAGCCTAGCATCTGAGGGGGAAGGGACTCCTATCCCCTTCCTGATAGGGAGGCACTGCTGTGGTGCTCCAGAAACACCCCAAGCCCCAGCCCCAGGTGCCCTGGGCTGCCCCAATCCTGCACCCATCAGCCTACCAACCCAAGACCTGGGGGCCCATGTGGCTCCTTGGGGTCTCCAGACATGACCCTGGGTGGGCAATGGGCCCTCCTTGTCCTCCAAAGCAACTTGGCCTTGATGTCAGCTGGGCCAGCACTTCCCAGGGGTTCCCTGGGCTAAGGAGGGGTGGGGACAGGGAAGGACTAAGGACCCAGGTTTCAGTTCACCCACACCTTCCAGCTGAGGGTGGGTCCTGGGTTCAGTCCTTGCTGTGCCACTCATCAACTGTATGGCCTTAGATGGGTTTTCTACCCTTCAATATAAGTCTTGCTCTACAACATGGGGATAATGTACTTTTCTTATTCCTGCTGCACCACACGGCTTGTGGGATCTTAGTTCCCTGACCAGGGATTGAGCCCAGGCCCTTGGCAGTCAAAGTGCCAAGTCCTAACTGCTGGACCTCCAGGGAATTCCCAATATTGAAATATGCTTTTCTTTTTTTTTTTTTATTTTTTGACCAAAAACTTGTCAGTATTAATGGAGAGGTCATCAGAGTGCCTTGCACAGCACTCCCCTACACACACACACACACACACACACACACACACACACACAATAGGTGCTCAATAAATGGTAAGGATATTTCAACTGATACTAACTTAACGATGTTAAACCTTTTAAAAATTTAAGTTAACGATATTTCTGCATTATTATATAGTTAATACACATAGTACAAAAATCAAAAGATCAAAGGTGTTTGTGAAAAATGTCAGCCTCTGTGACTTTGCCGCTCCCACTTTGCTGTCTCCCATTTCACCTCCCCAGAGATAGTCTGCTCACCAAGAAACTCAGATATTTTCCCCACCACATGAACCTTACTAATCTATCATTGTGACCCATATCCCCTTTTCAAATTAAAATTTTATTATTAGAATTCTTATAATTAAATAGAATTCCATAATTGAAAATAATAATTTTTAGTTATTTGTTTTTTGGCCGTGCTGGGTCTTCGTTGCTGCACACGGGCTTCCTCTAGTTGCAGTGAGCTGGGGACTACTCTCCAGTCGCAGCACGCAGGCTTATTATTGTGGTGGCTTCTCTTGTTGTGGACCACGGGCTCCAGGTGAGTGGGCGTCAGTAGTTGCAATGTGTGGGCTCAGTAGTTGTGCTGTACAGGGTTTGTTGATCCACAGCATGTGGAATCCTCCTGGACCAGGAATCAAACCCGTGTCCCCTTCATTGTTCGGCAGATTCTTAACCACCAGACCACCGGGGAAGTCCTCTATTTTGCAAGTGAAGTGAAAGTCGCTCAGTTGTAGCCAACTCTTTGCGACCCCTTGGACTATGCAGTCCATGGAATTCCCCAGGCCAGAATACTGGAGTGGGTAGCCTTTCCCTTCTCCAGGGGATCTTCCCAACCCAGGGATGGAACCCAGGTCTCCCACATTGCAGGTGGATTCTTTAACGGCTGAGCCACAAGGGAAGCCTATTTTTAAAGGGTACAGTAAAAAGTCTCTTCTATTCCTGGCACACACCACTGCCCCCATCATTTCCCTATCCTCAGCAACCCCCCCCCCCACCCACCCAGAGGCACCAGTGTTGTTAGTTCAATTGACTCAAAGGGGCTTACTGTTCTCACACACTTGCCTCTGTGAAATCGGAATGTATCTCAATCCCTGTCAGCCAGGGGCGGTTGGAACACTTTTGTGAGACCACCTTCTGAGGAAGGTTGTCTCACGCTGCTGCTCTGGCTGCTATAACACAATGTTGTGTGGGGGGAGGGGAGGGGAGGGGAGGGGAGGGGAGGGGAGGGGAGGGGAGGGGAGGCCTTAAATTGGCAGAAATTTGTTTCTTCACAGTCTGGAGGCTGGAAGTCCAAGATCAAGGTGCCAGCAACTTTGGTTTCTTCCGAGGCCTTGCTCCTTGGCTTGCAGGTGGCAGCCTCCTCGGTGTGTCCTCACATGGTCTTTCCTCTGTGCCCATACATCCCCGGTGTCTCTCCGTGTGTACAAATTTCCTCTCCTTAGAAGGACACCAGTCAGATTGAGTTAGAGCCCACCCTAGGGGCCTCATTAAGTGTAATCATCCCTTTAAAAGGGTGGGTTCAGTGACAGCTTTGCACAGTGTCTCTATGTTTGTTTCACACACGCATTGTTTTTTGTTTGGTTTGGTTTGGCTTTTTTTTTTTTTTTTTTTTGGCCATACTGCATCTGTATGACCTATGGAACTTCCCTGACCAGAGATCAGAGATGGAACATGTGCCTGCTGCAGTGGAAGCATGGAGTTTTAGCCACTGGCCCAAAAGAAAGTCCAAGTGTATTGTTTTGTATAAAGTAATCATTCTTCTCTCTCCTTTACCCCTCTTTAAAAAATTATATACATGAGTTATTGTTTTTCTTTTTAAAAAGTATTTCACTGCGCTGGGTCTTAGTTGCTGCACTCAGAATTTTTTAGTTGCAGTGTCTTAGCCACTAGACTACCAGGGAGGTCTCTATACATGAGTTATTGAAAGTCAACTTCAGGAAACAAAATTTTCACTGAGACCATGACCAAACTTGAGGAGGAACTAATACAGCCTGTGATGGATACAATAACCGTTGGGATGATGAGTCTTCTAATCTTTGGAGCTGAGAGAGAATTGCTGCACAGGTAGGAAGGACAACTGTCTCCTGTTCAGTAGAGACATACAGTCGTGTTCTTGTGGTCAGGCTGTTCCGATGTGTAGAAGGGAAGACACAGAAGCTGAGCTATAAATAAGTAGTGGACCGTGTGAGTCATTGATTTATCACCTGAGCTCTGGGTGCATCCTTCAATAGATGCTGTGTGATGAACAAAGGAATTTCGGTAAGAAGTTCTTTGAGGACTTCCCTG